GACATCACAATATCATTTGCTTTGCAACCAAAACAAAAGAAAGGCGTACAAAGTGAGTATTACAAATGTGAGATATGCAGCAATTTTACGAAGTTGTATGCTTACAGCTAAATAATGTCGCTGTTTGCTTTCTCAAGGGAGCTAAAGCTGGCTATTTATTAATTGATAAGAGTCCTTAGTACGGTTCCGTACCATGCATATACATTAATAATTTAATATTGTACGGACAACGTCTGGGTCGCTTAAGTTTATAACTTACTGCGTATACTGATACAAGGCTTCAGTTATTTATTTGTATATGTAGTTTAAATATTTCGTGATTGAATAAAACTAAAAATAAAATAAATTAAAAAAAAATAAAACTTAAAATAAAACTTTGACTACACGAGTAGGCAGATGCCTGGAGTGGTATAAGCCCTAGGGTCTGCTAGTAAAGCTGAAATTTTAGTGTTTAAGTATTAACACTAAGGAACCAAACCCTATGTAAATGAACCTCATCCTGAAATCTGCATCCACAGGGTAGACTTTGATATCAATGCTATTGTTATGAACGTGACAAATGTAATAAACAAATCTGTAACACTGCAAATAATTTTTAACTACAATAATATAAATGCCAAGAAAAAAAGGCATTTTTAAAATAATCTTTTAGCATGAGACAGTATGGCATTAAGTATAATGGAACCATACAAGGTAAAAAAAAAAAAGCAAAGGTTTTTTTATCTATGTGTTACAAGGTTCTGCTTCATATCCATATTTTATAATAAATTATTGTGTTTATTGACAATAAAACAGCAATTACTCACGAATTGTCAATCTTTCTTGTAGATTTCAGAATGGCATTAAAAATAGATTACGAAGAGGTACTAGATTTTGGCGAGGAGGCAGCGAAAGATGTAGGAAGATTTTTTAATATTTTTTACTTGTTTATTTATTTAATTTTATTTTTATGTTGAATCGATAATCATTCACGGAAAAAGGTCCCTCCTCCCTCTTATCGTTTCATACCTTTATAAGATACATATACGTATTTCATATACGATTTTTAAAATAATTAACAATAAAATCTTAATAATCTGTAGAATATTATCAAAAAAAGTATTGGATCTAAATCAGTGCTCCAATGACTCCCAAGTTTGCATTTGTACGTGCATCATACAGTTGCTGCTTTCACGTTCTGGGGATCTTTTTAAGGATTTAAGGAACATGAAAAACTTGTAACCAATTGATACTGCCACAGTACCCCAACATTTTCTATCTTATCTCTTTTCTAGGACGAAAAGATGAAAATATTGAAATTTGAATACAGCTGGGCGGATGTGATGGAAGAGGCAGTGAAGCAAAAAGAGGTATTTTAACAGAAATAATCGCAACAGCAATATACATTACAAACATTTTTTTTTTAAATTACAATGTATTTATCTTTCAATGGTGATCATCAAATTAAGGAAATTAAATTTATTTGCAGACGAAAGTTGAAGTGATAAAAACACGTGACCCACAAAAAATACTGAAACGGAATCACGCAAAACGACTGGTAAGAAAAGAAATTCACACATTTATCTATGTCATTTCAAAACAGTCTCCCGTTCTGTTTATGAAGTGGTGAGGTTTTAAAAGACAAAATGTGTTGTTGTTTATTGTAGAGAGAAATTGAAGACAGGAAAATACATTCCTTTGCATTAAACCAAGTCCATAAGGAGTTGCTGGTAAGCATATAAAATATAATATGGATATAAAAAATTATGTTTAGAAAGTTGTTAAAAAATACTTTTGTAATTAAACCGGTGTTTTTCAGTAGAATTAAGTCCCATTTGTTCAATTACAGGAATTATTCAATGCTAAAAAGGAACCAAAAGCAAAAAGAGACCATCAAAAAATATTGAAGGACAAACACGAGTTACTACTGGTGAGAAATAATACTCAGACGACCTTTTATAAACATTTTCAGAAAGAGCAGAAAATAAGCTTATAATTTATTTAAAATCAAGCTGTGTTGCTTTTTCCCTTGCAGAAAAAGATTGAAACAAAACGTGAGACTGAAAAACTGCTCATCGCTGCACATGAACAACTACTGGTAAGAAAACGAATCTCTCGATAAATGTACGCAAAATACTCACAGTAGTTTTGGAAAATTAATAATAGCAACTGTGTGGTTTTTCTCTTGTAGAAAAGGATTGAGGCCAAGCAAATACATAGAAGTTTGCTGAAGAATGTGCACAACCAGCTACTGGTAAGGATACATTAATATTTACGTTTGACATTGCTATAGATGGTGTAGTTATAGTTTGCTTTATTTAATATCTATCCTTGATCGAAAACTTCTGTAGATCATATATACCGGTATATATATAGTATTAAGTTCCAAATTCCAATCTTGTTAGCTTCAAACGTCTCTTTTATAATTTAGAATGTAATGAAAAAAGAAGATACGGTAACAGCTTTATCTGGAGGAAGGAGACCGCTGTTAAGTACCTTAAAGGTAAAATTTTGATACAGAGAATATAAATTATTGATGTATATTTTTTCTGACATTATTGGATTTATCTATAGAGGAATATATTACTTTTTCAGGTACTGGCAGACAAAGGAAGAGGGATGATTTACGGAATAATGAAGTATTTTGGATTCATATGAAATTGCTTGCATCCCTGGAGACATTATATTTTATTAGCCTTTAAATATACTTTTTTTGATTAAACATAATTAACTTTAAAATGAGTTTTTATTTTTTCAAGCATTTGTTTGATGTGTTACGAGAGAATTTCTATTTTTAGTGACCATGGCAACATCGTTCATTGAAATCAAAAGCTGTCATATAGTAGTCTTCTTGTGTGCCAAGTTTAACTGAAATCAGAAAAAAACTGTAGGAGTAGCGTTTTGAAAGTATTTTACAGAAATTTTTATTTTTAGTAACCATGGCAGCATTGTTCATTGAAATCAAAAGCTGATACACAGAATGCTGTATCTTAGTGTAGTCTTCTTGTGCCAAGTTTAACTGAAATCAGACCAAAACTGTAGGAGTAGTAAATTGTTTACAGACAGACAAACAGTAAGACGAGCGGAGAGCAGACATCTTACTATCGCATAAGCTCTTCTGGTCTCTGACCAGTAGATCTAGCTAAAAAAAATAAGAATGGGAGGGGGCCCATGCCAAGTGCCTTTGGCCCTTGCTGCTAAGAGTAAGAATTTCTAAGAATTTTCCTACATGTATCTACCTTTTCTTACGTAAAGAATTGAATTTTATTGTGGTCCTGGAAACAGATGTTGGAATGTGTTCACATGCAACTATTATAGCTCTGTGGCTTTTTTTGATAAAAGGACAATTTATAACATTATCATTTTTATCTTCATTATTTCAACGTAAAGACTTGAACAAGATTACTGAGCAATGAACTTTTGACAGGGTGTTTTGGACATAACTTTAGAAATCGATTGTGATGAGTTCAAACTTGAGTATGTTGATGCTTTTACCAAAAGAAAATTAAATTTTTCTTCTAATTCATGATCAACTATTTGAAAACTTCAATCTTGTTTAAATAAAGATGTTTTTATTTTAACCGGACACATTGTCACCTTAATATAGTCATATGTTTATCTTATTATTTTGAAAAACTTTTTTTGATAAATAACACAATTACTATAAATATTCGTATCAGTATTTGTGAGTTCAAGTTTCATTTAAGCCAGACTAATATTTGGATTTGAGTTCTTCTAGATTCTCAAAATTAGTCTGCAAATTCTTGTTGTCAGGTACGTCTTAACTCGCTTAATTATTATATTTGTGTAAAATTGTTGCTTAGACGCAGAAGGAATGATTATGCTTTAAGGTACTAAATATTTACATGTAGAGTGTATATTGCTGTATAAAAAATACTCGTAACATGCAATTGTAATTATTGACAAAGTAGATATGTTTTTAAAATTTTTTAAATTTATTTATTTATTTATTTTGAGGGACTGGGGGCGGGGTTGAGTTTTTGATAAAGCTTTTACAAGCAGTTAATGGTGGAAGGAGAGACATAGATTAAATCAATTTTCATTTTAATTCTTTGTGCAAGAACACATGCATAGAAAATGAAATTCAAAAAATCCAATTCAATAACTTCTTTTTGGCCAAGATACTTTTTGTTTGTATCTATGTGTTATATTTACGTGAAATTTAATAATCAGTTCAGTTTTTGTAATAAGGTAATATTGAAATATTTTACTGTTTTGGTTAAAATAATATGCATTTATTTGACCTGATAAATACAGAATCAAATAATGAAACATTTTGGAGAATTAGAAAATAACTGTACTCTTATTTGTTATTTGCGACCGTTAAGGCCTATTTAACGGTAGGAAAATGAGTTTTACCGGCGACGCGTAGGCAAAAAGGGCGGCGTTTTTCCCACTAAAAAACGTGGTTTACAGAAATTACATATTACGCTTTAGCCATATCAACTTTTAGAATATTTTTGTATATCTAAGGGGCACCATAAATCATATATTAAAGGATGAATTGGCTCCTACCTCAAGTGTAAGAGGAATTTGAGGAAGGATATTGACAGACAGACGGACCAGGATAACAACAATATACCCGAAATTTCAACAGAAAGTACAACTAGTGCAGTATACTGGCTTGGAGGGTAAGTGTTTAAGTTGAATACTTGTCTAGCAATATATCATTTATTAATTATAGTTAACCTTGGAATTTTTGTTTTCCCTTTTTTTTTTTAAAGAGAATCATCTTCAGAAATATTCCAGCATATAGAAAACCTCCAAAAATACCGGTATAAGACAACATTCAATCTTTTTTTTTTTTTTTTTTTTTTTTTTTTTTTTTTTTTTGAACCAGGAAGGAGATTCAAGTTTATTTTACTGTATTTATCATCGATGCTTAATTTTTATAAATATTATGTTAAGATTGTTTATTTGAATACCTCATGCAAACAGCATCATTGTATTGGGTTGAAAAATGATTTAACCATCATAAAAAGTATTGGAGAAATTATGAAAGGATTGCATTTTATAATAAAAATGGGCTAAAATTTATTAGTAAATTTATGCTTTATAAGCACTAAGTATAATATCTGCTGCTTTCTCTGCAACCATTATGACTGGAGCATTGGTGTTAGAGGCGGGCACAAAAGGCATTATGGAGGCGTCAACAACTCGTAGTCCGGCCATCCCCCTTACTCTGTAATTAAAAAAATATATAAATTATAAATACTCATTTAAAACATAGGTAATCAAAGATTACAGAACTCACTTCGACGAATGTCATCTATAAGTAAGGCAAATCTCAAATCATATTTTTTTTCTAGTTAGTGTACATCCCAAGATCAATATCTATGCAAGTTTGGTTTAAGTCGGACTTATAGTTATTTGGAAATAGACCTGCTCAAAAAACTTTTAACCTGTTTACTAATCAAGAAAATTTTGGTCAGTTCCAACATCCAAAGCAAGTCTGAAAGTTTTCATCCTTAGATACACCATCTATGCAAGTTTTATCATAACACTATATAATAATACTATATAGCTACTCCAAAAACATTACCCTGCTCACTCATCTGGAAAATGTAGGTCAGATTCAGAATCCAAAGCAGATTGGTTAGTGCACATCCCCAGATGCATCATCCATGCAAGTTTGATGACTTTGTAGAACAATCAAAGACGCTTTTCAATACTGCTTAGCAGTACTTGTTTAGTGAGATAAGCTCATACTAAGTGCTTTAAACGCGATATTACCGTTATTTACCCTGACTAACACATGCTCATTTGTGAATGACTCTCTAACGTCTTTTATATAGTATACAAACCTGTTACTCGTTAGCATTGCTTAAACATTTACATAATATAAAGCAGAAATCAATGATCGTTTTGTCTACGTTGTTCAAAGGGACATAATTTGATTATCGAACTTTGAAACAAAACTTACATTATGCAAATTTCCAAATAAACATTCAATCACAAGGACAAATTGTATCTAAAGGCTGTCTTTGGAGGGTGGATGGTGGGGAATATTTCTAATACATTGACAAGTAAAATAATTGTGCTTGTATAAATACAAGTAGAATTGCACCATACTGCAATCTGCTGCAATAAAATGCGATACATTGTGATGTCTGCCACATTGTCCAATCAAAATTAACTTAGTCAATTTTTTTTCCTTAATTGAATTTAAAAAAAACCGATTGAATACAAACACTTTTTTTTTCATTTTATGATTTAAAAAAAAGGTTTAAAAAACAGACTAGAAAGCATTTCTTTTATTCTCACATTCTTAAATATTTGTTTTCTTCGATATGAATCAAAATTAACAATCAGTAATTAAGTCCAAGGACTTTCGCAAAGTTACATGTTGAATTTAACTGCCTTGTATTACACTGCACTACAATGCAATGTCAATCAATAAAATGAAGTCCATTTTTGTTTTACATTATAATATTGAAAATAAGGTGTAAATTAACATATTTTCTAAAAAAAAAATTATTTTTAAAAAATTTTTGAAAAACAGACTGGATGAAATATTTTCATTTACATTTTCTTATATGATTGTTCTCTTTCATATGAATCTAAATTAACAATGCAGTAATAATGTCGAAGTATTTTTCGACAAATTTTTCATTGCTGTTTATTATGACTTGGTCAGGGAATGGACCTGCTCCAAAAACTTTAACTTGGTCACTCATCTGGAAAATCTAGGTCAGATCCAGCATACGAAGCAAGTATGGTAGTGTCCATCCCTAGATGCATCATCCATGCAAGATTGGTCCAGGAAGGGCTTATAGTTAGGTACCCTCTTCAAAAACTTTAACTTGATCACTCATCTTCAAAATCTAGGTCATATATAGCATCCGAAGTCTGGAAGTATCCATCCCTAGATAGTAGATACATCATCCATGCTAATTTAGTTAAAATGTGGCTAAAATTTACTCATGTGGAAAATTTAGGTCAGATCCAGCATCAAAAGCAGGTGTTGTATTGTCCATCTCTAGATGCATCATCAATGCAAGTTTGGTCCAGGAAGGGCTTATAGTTCCTTGGGAATGGACCTGCTCCAAAAACTTTAACCTGGTCACTCATCTGGAAATTTTAGGTTAGATCCAGCATCCGAAGCAAGTGTGGTAGTGTCCATCACTAGATGCATCATCCATGCAAGTTTGGTCCAGGTAGGGCTTCTGGATACTTGGAAACGGACCTGCTCCAAAAACTCATCTGGAAAATCTACGATAGATCCAGCATCCGAAGCAAGTGTGGTACATGTAGTGTCCATCCCTAGATGCATCATCCATGCAAATTTGGTCCAGGTAGGACTTAAAGCTGCTTGGGAATGGACCTAATTCAAAGCCTTTAACCTGGTCACTCATCTGGAAAATGTAGGTTAGATCCAGCATCTGAAGCAAGTGGGGTAGTGACCGTAGTGTCAATCCCTAGATGCATCATCCATGCAACTTTGGTCCAGGAAAGGCTTATAGTTAGGTACCTGCTTCAAAAACTTTAACCTGGTCACTCATCTTGAAAATCTAGGTCAGATCCAGCATCTGAAGCAAGTATGGTATTGTCCATCCCTAGATGCTTCATCCGTGTAAGTTTGGTCCAGGTAAGGCTTATAGTTACTTGGCAATGGACTTGCTTCTAAAACTTTAACAGGGACGCCGACGCTTATGCTGACACCGACGCCGGGGGTGTAGCATAAGCTCATCACGACTGCGTCGAGTAGAGCTAATTTTTTTTGTTATTATACTTACAACTCGTCACATATATGCATAATCACTTGAGGTTTGCATTCGTTGAAAAAAAATCGTGTTGAGGTCATCATTTTTATTTCAGAGATCATAGCGAGAAAAAAATACATAATTTACACGTATGTCTTAAAGAGTGATGTTCAATAAATCATACTTTAAATTTGGATCCACCACTGCTGACTTATCATTAGATGCGCCCATTGTACAGGTGCTGGTGGGATGGTAGTTTGTTAGAGCGTAGTGACGGACGAGACACTCCCAATGTTCGTCACTATCCTGATCCTTCGATCGACAATCCTCGTGCTTTATCTGCACGATTTTCGCTTCTACCGACTGGAAAGATTTTGTTGCAACAAGATCTTGGAGTTTACGAATTCCTGCAAATTTAGCCAATGTCGAAATTAGAATTTTTATTCTAAATCTACATTTACTACGTATCATAAGAATGAAAAAGGTAGATGTTTTGAGGCAATGCTGTTCCAACGCTTTTTAGCTCACCTGAGCCGAAGGCTCAAGTGAGTTTTGTCCGTTGTCTGTCGGCGTCGTCGTCGTTGTTGTCGTAAACTTTTCACATTTTCATCTTCTTCTCCAGAACTACTGGGCCAATTTCAATCAAACTTGGCACAAAGTATTTTTGGGTAAAGGGGATTCAAGTTTGTTCAAATGAAGGGCCACGCCCTCCTCCAAGGGGAGATAATTATGAAATAGCAAAAAATTAATGGCATTATTGAAAAATCTTCTTCTCAAGAACCAATGGGCCAGGAAAGATGAAACTCCTGTGGAATTATTATCAGGTAGTGTAGATTCAACTTTAATCAAATCATGCCCTCCGGGGGTAGGGTGGGGCCACAATGGACGATCAAAGTTTTACATAGGTGTATATAGGAAAAATCTTCTTCTCAAGAACAGCAAAGCAGTGATTGGTAATATTTATGTGGAAGCGTCCTCAGATGGTGTGGGTTCATCTTTGTTAAGATCATGACCCCCGGGGGTAGGGTGGGGCCACAATGGACAATGAAAGTTTAACAGAGGACTATATAGGAAAAATCTTCAAAAATCTTCTTCTCAAGAACAGCAAAGCTATGATTGGTCATATTTATGTGGGAGCATCCTCAGGTGGCGTAGATTCAAGTTTGTTCAAATCATGACCCCCGGGGGTAGGGTGGGGCCACATTGAACAATCAAAGTTTTACTTGGAATATATAGGAAAAATCTTTAAAAATCTTCTCAAGAACAGCAAAGCCACGGTTTGTCACATTTATACGGAAGCATTCTCAGGTGGTGTAGATTCAAGTTTGTGCAAATCATGACCCCCAGTGGTAGGGGGGGGGCCACAATGAAAGTTCAAACTTGAAGAGAAAAAAGTCACAGTTAGTCAAAAAATTATGCAAGCATCCTTAGTTAGTGTAGATTCAAGTTTGTTCAAATCATGACCCCCCCCCCCCCCCTCCACTCACTTTTAGGGGTAGGTAAGGACCACTTATGCATATAAGCTTTTCAATACTAAACTGATTTTTCTTTTTTTCCTAGCCACAGTGCTCAGGTGAGCGATGTGGCCCCTGGGCCTCTTGTTTTAGTTTAGTTTTAATTTTTATTTGAAAAAAAAAAACCATGTACACAAACCTTGGTCAGTATGCATTATACATCCCCAGTCAAGATAAGAATTTTATATATTATGTGTACTTTAAAATTTATATAACCTTTTTCTCTTTAAAATGTTTTTTTTTAGTTTGATTGATAAAATTTTCCACAAATCACCTCTTATGAAACATGTGACGTCATCTGGATTCTCTAGATAATGCGGATCAATTATTGGAAAGTCAAAAGGATCGGAAGAACGTAGGCGGATCTCTCCGACACTTTTTGGATGTTGTGGGGCCATAATCCCAATAGTGAAAAGTTTCCCTTTTTCAATAACGTTTCCCTCTGTCAGGGCCTTGTAAAACATTGTATTCAGATTACATAATTATATCTAATGGAAGTTCGGGTACATCGTTGTTATCCCTGTACGTCTATTTGTCACACAATCTTCTTCCATTTTGAACAGTAACCATTTAATCTTTTGGAATATGATTGATGGTGTCCTGTAGACGTGCAATAGGGTTTCTAAGTTTTCAGTTTTATCCTGGGGAAAACGGAGGATTAAGAAAGACCTTTTTTCTACCCCTCCTCCCCCCCCCCCCCCAAAAAAAAACCCTGGTTCCCCTTACATTTTACGCAGTAGTCAAATCATCTTAATTTTGGAATATTGTTGGTGCATGGTTTTACGACTGGGCCCAAGTATTGAAATTTTACCGACCTCTGAAGGGAACCACCAATCATTTTCCAAAAAATTTCGACTGCATAAAATTTAAGAGGAGTTCTGGGAGCCAAGTATTAGTTAAAAAAAACCAGAAGTCTCTGATGAGACTGTAGCTCTACTGGTCTGTTTGTATAACAAAAGAAAAGTAGCACTTGGATTTGAAACATTGCAACATGCAACAATAAATAGAATTATGTATCTTAATGTAGTCTACTTTTGTGACAAGTTATATTGAAATCAAATGAAAACTAGGAGTAGTAGCGTTTTGAAAGTATTTCACTAAAATTTCTATTTTTAGTAACCATGACAACACCATTCACCCAAATAAAAAAAAACAGAAATACATATTATGTATCGTAGTGTATTCTAACTGTGTGCCAAATTAGATTGAAATCAGACCAAAATTGTAGGAGGAGTAACGTTTTAAAGGAATTTCAAAGAAATTTCTATTTTAAGTAACCATGCCAACACTGTTCATTGAATTCAAAAACCAATGCAATAAATTATGTATCTTAGTATAGTCTACTTGTATGCCTAATTATATTAGAAGCAGACTAAAACTGTAGCAGGAGTAGTGTTTTAAAGGAATTTCACAGAAATTTCTATTTTTAGTAACCATGGCAACACCGTCAATTGAATAAAAAAACCGATGCAATAAATTATGTATCTTAGTGTAGTCTACTTGTGTGCCAAGTTATATTGAAATCGAACCAAAACTGTAGGAGGAGTAGCGTTTTAAAGGAATTTCACAGAAATTTCTATTTTTAGTAACCATGGCAACACCGTCCATCGAAATCAAAAACCGATGCACTAAATTATGTATCTTAGTGTAGTCTACTTGTGTGCCAAGTTATATTGAAATTGGACCAAAACTGTAGGAGGAGTAGCGTTTTAAAGGAATTTCACAGAAATTTCTATTTTTAGTAACCATGGCAACACCGTCCATCGAAATCAAAAACCGATGCACTAAATTATGTATCTTAGTGTAGTCTACTTGTGTGCCGAGTTATATTGAAATCGGACCAAAACTGTAGGAGGAGTAGCGTTTTAAAGGAATTTCACAGAAATTTCTAGTTTTAGTAACCATGGCAACACCGTCCATCGAAATCAAAAACCGATGCACTAAATTATGTATCTTAGTGTAGTCTACTTGTGTGCCGAGTTATATTGAAATTGGACCAAAACTGTAGGAGGAGTAGCGTTTTAAAGGAATTTCACAGAAATTTCTAGTTTTAGTAACCATGGCAACACCGTCCATCGAAATCAAAAACCGATGCACTAAATTATGTATCTTAGTGTAGTCTACTTGTGTGCCAAGTTATATTGAAATTGGACCAAAACTGTAGGAGGAGTAGCGTTTTAAAGGAATTTCACAGAAATTTCTATTTTTAGTAACCATGGCAACACCGTCCATCGAAATCAAAAACCGATGCACTAAATTATGTATCTTAGTGTAGTCTACTTGTGTGCCGAGTTATATTGAAATCGGACCAAAACTGTAGGAGGAGTAGCGTTTTAAAGGAATTTCACAGAAATTTCTATTTTTAGTAACCATGGCAACACCGTCCATCGAAATCAAAAACCGATGCACTAAATTATGTATCTTAGTGTAGTCTACTTGTGTGCCAAGTTATATTGAAATTGGACCAAAACTGTAGGAGGAGTAGCGTTTTAAAGGAATTTCACAGAAATTTCTATTTTTAGTAACCATGGCAACACCGTCCATCGAAATCAAAAACCGATGCACTAAATTATGTATCTTAGTGTAGTCTACTTGTGTGCCGAGTTATATTGAAATCGGACCAAAACTGTAGGAGGAGTAGCGTTTTAAAGGAATTTCACAGAAATTTCTATTTTTGGTAACCATGGCAACACCGTCCATCGAAATCAAAAACCGATGCACTAAATTATGTATCTTAGTGTAGTCTACTTGTGTGCCAAGTTATATTGAAATCGGACCAAAACTGTAGGAGGAGTAGCGTTTTAAAGGAATTTCACAGAAATTTCTAGTTTTAGTAACCATGGCAACACCGTCCATCGAAATCAAAAACCGATGCACTAAATTATGTATCTTAGTGTAGTCTACTTGTGTGCCGAGTTATATTGAAATCGGACCAAAACTGTAGGAGGAGTAGCGTTTTGAAAAATTGTTTACAGACAGACGGACAGACAGACAGACAGACAGACAGACAGACGGACGGACGACGGACACCTTACTATCGCATAAGCTCTTCTGGTCTCTGACCAGTAGAGCTAAAAACTAGTTGGTTTTGACCCCAAATTGGTCTCAGGGTGAAAAAGAAAATTCATTGTACATCTACAGAGGACACAGCACAAATCGCATTCCAAAAAAAATATGGCTATTGCTTTTAAAAATGTGAAAGGAGTTTGAGGTTTTTATGGAAGTGAGCGGATGGGTGGACCGCCCGGGATAACAACAATATACCCGAACTTTCTTTTGGAAGTGCATGTTTAAAAAGAAATACATTCATAGTACAAGAGATGGAAAATAATTTGATCACTGTATATGTATAAGGCTAAAAACCTTTGGTTTTGCGAAGTCCAAGAAGGAGAATCGCTTTTCGTACTTTATATCAATACTGTGTAATTGGTATTGTACATCTGGTGAGATGTCTTCTGGAGTTGTCTTGGTCCGGAAATACGCAGCTGCCTCGCGCATGCCCGCCACGGATAATGGCCCTTTGATTTACCATGATAATATCATTTTTGCATCAATTTTGATGAGAAAGTTAACTTGCATTGATATTAATTTCAATTGACATATATATCTTATATATAGGCAGACCTTAAGCACAGTTGTAATGAAGATTTATTTTGCACTCATAAATCACCCTTTGTTTAACTAAAAATAAAATATAAATAGATCAGCATGGAGTGGCTATGCCTATAAGGGGAAGCTAAGACGCTATCTTACCCGACCTAAATAGTGAGTACTGTAATTGACTCCACCAGCCATAGACCCAGTCCGACCCGCTGATGGACTCATTCACTTGGATCATTACGGGGAACATCATGTGGTCCTGAAGGTTCTTCCCAACAGGTAGATCCGCCACCACAGGGATCTGTAAATAATGATACCCAAGCAATAGTCTAGTATGTTCTCATGGCCTCCGGACACTGTCTACAACTAAAAGTGATACTGTATCATAAATCAGTAAATTTAGCAACAACAAAATTAACCTGAAATAATACCAACTTTTAATTTTTCTAGATCTGCTTTGGGTCCGATTCCGGACAACATCAGTAGTTGTGCTGACCCTACTGTCCCCGAAGAAACAATAACCTCTTTTTTAACGTTAATTGTAAATTTTAGACCATTTCGAATAAATGAAACACCTCTTGCCGTTTTCCCTTCAAAATGGATCTGAAATTGTATTAAAGTTAAAATTGCATACTTTCTATAGAAAACATTTTACATTTACTGACTTGGTTCGGGGACGACGTACATGCTTTTTGATGGACATTTACTGACTTGGTTGGTTCGACGGTGCGACAAAACGCATTCTGTCCGACAATCCAGTCAATAAATGTGTGTTATACCTTTAAAATTTGTTGCCTACACAATGCGGTTTAAACTCGGACATTTCCGTAACTGTCGAACATCAACTAATGCAAACTAGACTGTTGATTCGTGATTCTGCCTAAGCTAATCGAGTGTGAAATAAAACTGACATAATCTTGATAATGGTTCATCATCTCAACGACAGCTCCATCATTGAAGTTTTGGACCGCTTAAAACTTTGGAAATATTAGACCTTTTTGAAAGCATAGCTTCAATATAGGAAACAAATTTTAAAGGTATTACAACTTTTTCTTTCATCAAATTAACAAAGTGAATACGCATTTTACTAACAAAACTAAATGTGAAACTAAAAAGCATTGTCATACTTAAATACATTACCGGCAAAATGAAATAAAATAAAATATAATATGAAAACAGTGTTATTTAAAGCTTTGTTTTACCTTTGTCACATGAGAATTTGTTGCTATGTGTAAATTTTCTCTATCAGAGGCTGGCAGTAGAAAGCTCCGGGCAGTGCTGGACCGTAACCCGTCTCCAATGAAAGTCTGTAGTCTACAAAAACCTATCACAACATCGTACTTTTTTTTTAATCAAAGGAGACAAAACTAAGTCTATTCAGCCTCAAAAAGTTGATCAGTTTTTAAGGTATGTGGAAGAAAGAGGAATATACCTTCTTGGTCACCATCATCTCCGTTACAATCATGGATTTTATAGCCAAGCTCTTTTCCGCCATTTAGAAAGACCTCTGATATTGGTGTAATTGTTGTTTCCGTTACTTTCATTGGTCCGTTTGTATTGTGGTATTCTTAAAAGAGTTTTTGAGTATGTTTGACATTCATTTATTTTATGCAAGATCGTTGATTAAAGCCGGATACAAGTACTGTATATCGAAATATTGTGAACCAAAAACTTACTACTATTTCTAAATGATGGTGATTGGAAGGACTCTGATTTTAGAAAGTATGGTAACACACTATCGTAGTCCCACCCTTTAGCCCCAAGCTCCGCCCATTTGTCATAATCACCACGTCCTCCTCGGTGATACACAAGACTATTGACTGTACTTGTCCCCCCTAAAGTACGCCCCCTTGGCCAGTAACTGACCTATAAAAATATCAGACGGTAAAAAATTCTGAGAGAAAGGGTACAGTTTTTGGATGTTTTTAGTCCAGATATATTTTTTCTACCAAGAATATCAAGGAAATGGTTTTTACAGATACTATACCTCGTTACCTCTTTGGTATATGCCTTGTAAGCATGCTTTTGGGGTTCTGTGTGATAGCCCCAGTCTGCGTGTGTTCGAACGGCTTTGTCGGTGTATCCGGGAATATCGAAAATGTAGTTCCCCAAGTCATTTGCTCCCGCTTCTAACAATAGCACGGATAACTTTCCATTTTCTGTCAGTCGGTTAGCTAGCACACAACCAGCGGATCCAGCACCAACTGGAATGATATAGCGATGCACTGTGAAAATGTTGCTATTTTCGGGTTCGAAAATGTAAGACGTGACTGTCAAAGTTATAAATGAAAATTTAATAAGGTATTTCTCATACAGAATAAAGTACAGTTGCGAACTTTATAATATCATTTTATAAAGTTTTTATCTATTGGGTGGAGGTAAATGCAAAATTTACAACATGGTAATTAGATAAAATAGTATATCTTGAGTCAGCGCACTTTAAATGATTGTTCTGAGTAATCCATACCTATGACGAAGTCATAAGTGTTGTTAAGTTGAGCTGCTATTCGAATGGTGCTTTCTTTGGAAAGAAATCGGTACGCTATCACAGACAAAATCAGAATACACAGTGGTAGCATTCCCAATAAATTGTTCATCTTTCGAGGTCTGTAAAGTGAGGATTGAAATAGAGATTTAATAAACATGTATTCAGATTGTGTACGTGCAGGAGAATATTTTAGAATATGATCTGTTCGGCCTGCCCAACCTTTTCAATTTCTCACTTATGAATTTGATATACTAACACCCCCCCCCCCCCCGCCCCTTCAGCACATATGGCCATATTGAAAAAAGATATCCAAAATATGGACATTGCCTTTACTAAAGAGAGTCAAGTTCATGTCACCTTCGTTCAATTTTACTGATGATGAAGTTCCCCTAACCTTCCAAAGCAGTGTTTTGTTTCCTTTTTTGTTTTGTTTTATTTTTGATTGTTTTGTTGGTTATAATTTTTGTTTTTGTATTGTATTTTTTTCCCTCAACATAGTCAATTTTGTTTAATGAAAAACATAAGATTTCCTCTCTCGATCTTTTCATCACTCATTTCTTCAAGTGAAAGTGGCAGAAATTATTTGTCGGTGTAGAAAACAGACAGAGCTGGTTTAAGAATAAATTATCTGCCAAATGAACTAGGAAATGACTTATCGTATATAGAAATTACTCGAAATTTGAACAACATTTTTTAAAACCAATTTTTACACCCCTTTTTTCAAAATTCAGTATCAATCTTAAAAATTCACAATGAAGGAACAAATCATCATCGCAAACTGCGGCCAAAATGTACAATCCTCTCCCATTCTATATGCGGACTCTGGACCATAGCTTGAGATGATTGGAACAGATCCACTTCGCCACAACACTTTTTATAAATAAAAAAAAATCTTAAGATAATTATTCTCATAAAATACTCGATATGGTTGAATTAAGTACAAACTAACTAGTATAATATTGAAGGGTACCCATCTCTTATCCGCAACTCCTCCTATACCACTGAATAAAATTCTTTCTAAATCACAGAATCTTTGTTACATAGCGCCATTGTGAAACTCATATTTTACTATTTGGGGTCTCTCATAGAAAAAACATGGACTTTGCCATTATTCAATTCAATTCACTCTATTGACAATTACCATGTCGGCATACAGTCATGACATAAAACGAATTAACAAGAATAATACATACATATACAAAGTGACAAATGTGAGTTGAACAAAATAATGTAGAGCATATTCACATATTTCTAAGTATTCATTGCTGACTTTCTTTTCTGGTGTCAAAGCACTTTTTCAAAAAACAACATATCCTTCTAGCAGTTGTAATATTTGTAGGATTGACAATTTTTCTAATGGGATTATCACTAGTATATGTGTTTACATTAAATATATCAGCATAATTGCATCTAAATTGGTCATACTTTGAACAGTATAGAACAAAATGTTTTTCATCTTCAATAAATAATTTACATGAATAGCATAAACGTTTTTCTCTAGGAATAGGGGGTTTACAGTATCTGCCCGTTTCAATATACAATGGATGGGCACTGATCCTTAATTTTGTTAATACAGATCTAAAACTTTTCTTTAAAGGCAGCTTTAAATAACTTTGCAATTTGTATTCATTTTGAATTTACAATTTTACTATCAAAAGCTAACTTTCCAGAGTTTGATTTGCTTATATTTTTCAGTTGTTCATGTATCTTGTTTTGGTAATGCTCTTGTAATTTGTTTTTCAAGGTTGTGTGAGAAATATCCAAAGAAGTGATATTTAATTTTTGTAGTAATGAAGACAGTTTTCTTTGCCAAGATATTCTAGATACAAGTTTTTTGTCTTCTTTAAATGCAGAAATCACTAAATAATTATTATAATCATGTTTGTTTTCCACTTCCTTAAGTCTCTTAAAATATTTAAACATATATTCATAACATAAATAGTACAAAGGAAAAACGACCCAATTCACATAAAACAGCAAGATTTGATGCCTTTCTAGTATGTGTTTAAATATTAAGTGTTGTGTTTTTTCAAAAGGAAATTGGTCTGAAGACATTAAATCACATTTGAAGTCAGTTATCCATACTTCAGATCCATATGTAATAATTGGTATTATCATTGACTGGTATAATTTTAACATAATTTCAGCTGAAAAATTAATGTTTGCAGGAAAATTTGATTTAATAGCATAATATGCTTTCCTAGCACGTTCTGATAGTTGTTCAGCTGCAAATTTCATTTTTCCATCAGATCTGAACACAACACCCAAATATTTATATTCATTCGTTATGTTAATCATTTGGTGATTGTAATAAAATCTAAATGATGTTTCATCATCTGTTTTTCTTGAAAAAATCATAACATCTGTTTTATCCATATTAACACACAATTTCCAGTCTGAACAATATTTTCCTAAAACATCTATACAGTTTTGCAGACCAACTTCTGATTCTGATACAAGGACAAGATCATCAGCAAAAAACATATGATTTATTGGCATCGTATCTAGATATGCAGGATATGTGCTTACATTTTTAAGATAATTCACAAAATCATCAACAAAGATATTGAAAAGTGTTGGACTTAAATTATCACCTTGTTTGACTCCTCTATTGGCTTTAAAATTTTCACTCATCAAATTTGGTCCTTTTTACAAGAATAGTATGTATTTGTATACATGTCTGTCAAAAGTTTGAGAAAGTTACCACCAATACCCTTTTTATTCAATTTGTATAAAAGTGCAGATCTCCACACAGTATCAAATGCTTTTGAAAAATCTACAAAGCACACATATAAATTCTGTTTCTTTGTATAAAGATATTTGTTTACAAGTGTTTTTAGTACAAATATATTGTCAGTGGTCCTATGACCTTTTCTAAATCCAGATTGATATTGACTTAGTAGGTTATTATTATATTATTATAAACACATGGGAGGCGGAGGTATCATTTTGTGATATTATGACGTCACAGTCATACAGGATGATTGTGACATCATAATTGTGTAATCCAGGCCTTGAGGTTATAAAATTTTTTGAGTACATACTCCGTGCTCAAACTCATACTCCATTCTCCAATACCATAAACATACTCAAAATTTATACACAACTTAGAGTGGAGTTTTGGAGTATGAGTATGGTTTTGGAGCACGGAGTTTGAGTTTGAGCACAGAGTTTGTACTCAAAAAGTTTTATAACCTCCAGGCCTGAGCTCAAAAAGAAAATTACTTGTTGCATTGTTACAGAGGAATCTTAATTAAGGTAAAAAATTAAATGTAGATTTCATACATGCATGTATATAAGGATGTTTAGGTTCATAATAGTACATGTATTTCGGTTGAGGTTCACGACATAGCCGAGACAATATAATTCCGGAATCTTTCCTCCCTACTGGGACTCTTTTGCACTAGACTGGGACTGATTTTTTTATGAGATGAAATACAATAAAATTATGTAAATTTTCTGATTGTATTAGATTTGGGGCATGCTGATTTTTTTTTTTTTTTTTTTTTTTTTTTTTTTTTTTTGTATACTGTATTGGGTGTGTGTGTGTTAGGCCCTACACTTGACTTCCACCGCTCCTTGGTGGTTTTATATACATAGATCTTAAAATTTGAATCGATACTGGCTACTCAAAGTTATGCATTTTTAGTAAGAATATATAGCAAAATTTAATATGGTAGTGACATCTTGCTATTTAGATGACCCCACCCCCTGTATATATGTGTCAATATTCAGTGATCAAACATATGTACATGCATAGTTAACGTTCAAATTCATTGTAGGGAAGTATACCATCTGTTACTTTTATTTTTCATGTTCTAAACTATCGATATAAAGAATTGATAAGAGAATTGTTTCTCAAATTTTATTTGTTCATAATAAAATTGTCATATTGCACATACAGTCATTTATAACCAACATGCATTTGTTTGTAATAACTTTTGATAGTTGATATCGTTCTATTTAAAAAAAAATATTCACATGTCAATGTGCCTGATTTACATGCGCCTGTAGAATGTCTTTAGAATGAACTGTTCTCTTATTTTGGTGTCACGCATCACTTAAATATATGTAGGGTCAGACATTCTGGCAAATAACGACCCTTTTTGCATTTAATGAAGTAAACTAAATAGAAAACCGTCATATATATATATATATATATATATATATATATATATATATATATATATATATAGACGCATGACCAGAAATAAATTGCGGTCATCTCTATGGTAGGGGTATAAATTGATATCGTGATTATATAATTAGAACTGTGTTCTTAATGAAGGTCATCTGAAGCTCTATTTTGTGTGGCGTGACATTACTAAAGGTACATATAATTATATATATGCAATTTGATGGGAGGTCGGGGTGGGATTAAACTTGTTTTTAAAAACATAATATTTCATGCTATACCTATTAATGGCAACCCAGACTTTCGATAATGTTGAAGACTATGCACGAAATCGAATAATCAGACACCTTCAGCATATAATTGCCTTCAAACAAAATCATTTTATAACATGATTCATTCTCTATGTATTTGCAAAATCAAAAAAAAAAATCTTTACTGGTTGTAACTTTGTTGTGTTAAGATAAAGACCTTGTCAGCTATGTAAAAATACGTACAAGTAAGGAGATTTCATGGACACAAAGATGAAATAGAAAATTTAAGCATTTATATTTACCCTCTTTCTTTGCCCTCTTTTCTGTGAGGACCATGTTTGGACGCTAGCAGAGTACATATAATATACAGATTCCTCATTGGTCCAAGTCACCTCATACTATAGTCATTTAGGGCAATGAAGGTGAGTCTTATCTATATATGACTGTGTTCCAATCTCTGTGCACATGTGACAAATACATGCATGGTTAGCCTTAGAAAGTTTTAGGTTGGAATCGAGAGCAAGTTAAGAGAGTAACTGTAGTCGAAGCTAGTCAATTCAAAATGCTTGTCATTGAGTGATTTACCGAGTATTCCGGACTCCATTAAGTATATATCCCAAAACGAAGCGCTCCAAATCAAAATAAATCATTATAGTTGTAAAAATTAAATTCTCTGTAATAAACTTAAGAACTTTTAGACAATATAACCTCTCTCTCTCTCTCTCTCTCTCTCTCTCTCCCTCTCGTACTACAATCAGGGGAGAAATGAATAAATAAAAATACGCTACTACATATATTTACTTCCTCAAGTAGTACTAGTATGCAAATTTCGAACTACTTTCCCTAACATGATACGGAAAAAAAATCAGATCAAGTCACAGGGCGGAATGTATGGGAGAAAATTAATGTAGATCCAACTACATTTTCACCACGGTTATAGCTTCATCATGGCACTTTACTGTGAGTTCATTCGATTTAAACACCAGGTTTTGCATTTAATAGACTAGATTTATTAATTGTGAGGTATAATCAGATGTTACTGTATTCATAATATATGCTATTGCCGGCTACTCTGTAGCTAGTCTAAATTTTATAAACATACAGTGTATAAACCATAAAATTCAGAACTATATTAATCGCCCATTTAATTCTTGTAAAATTATAGCTTGAAAATGAGAGAGGTTTATTAATTAATAGTTTGATATAGTAAATTATTTACAGTTTACTATAATTTAAAAAATTGTTTATAGATGAAAAAACTTTATTTAAAATTAATCATTAGGTATATTATTCTTTTAAAAAAATGTTCAGTGATTAATCCTAGTCTAACTGTTTCACTCATAATTGTGAATTTAAATTTAGCATGTACTTTCCAAGTTTCAACTTTAGGTGAAAAACCCATATGGTAAGAGCCCCCCCCCCAAATTTAAATCTCTATCGTATCAACTTTTCTTCGTATCATTGTTCGACATTAAATTCATTTCTGGAAAAAAAAAAGCAGTCACCGTCTCATACTTCATATACGATTTTCCATTTGAATCTAATGCTATTGTTGTTGTGAATTAAAAAGAAGTGCAGCACGAATCATTACACCTTAAGTGAGATTTTTAAAAAAAAAAATCTTGAAAATACACTTTTATAATTATTATCATTTTTTTTTTAATATTAGGCACTATTCAAGGCTTTGTCATATCACACTTTCTGCAAACAGATTTTGAAATAGTCCCTTTAATCTACCGGAAGTTTTCAGAGGAAAATCATACGCGAAGACAAAATCATGTTCACTGTATTTAGATTAGTCTTTTTGTTTATTTCTGTTCATCTTTTTGAAGTTTAATAAGAAATAATCTCAGGATTATTTGTTTTTCCAATATATCTGAAGAAGAAAAGCTTTTTTTTTAAATGCACTATTTGTTTAAGCGTTGGCTGTAGTTGATTTTACTTCATTATGCGATATTTACCTGTGTTGTAATCGGTGGGTGTATGATTCAGGTATAAACATGGATGAAGATGTGTTAGAACGACTAAAGACAGTGTTTGATGTTTGTGATGAACGTAAGGAGGGGTACATCACTGTTGACCATTTCAAAGATCTTGCCAGGGAACATTTCGGGCAGTTTGGTGACGATGAAGTAGGTATTTTGTTTAATATTTTTCATGCATTCAGACTGTCAATGTCATGCTTTGACATATTTCACTTGTATTGAATTTATAACGATATGAAGTGTAGTAAAAATAAAGAAATATTTTTGGGATTATAACATTTCATCATTTGACACCAAAATTTTACAGGGATATACAAATATGTAGTCCACTCCTCAGGTGTAAATGGGTTATTTGTTTTTAGGAATCGGTAGAATTCTATGTGAAAATACAAATCTATAGATTATATTTACTTCCTTCATATTGCTTTATGGCTAATCCTGTAAAGAGTGCATACTAGTACAGTTTATAGACACTAGTAAACCTTGGTAACAATGGTATACATGCATATTATATATATAACCTTAATTCAGAGAACACAAAAATTAATTTGGTAGTTACTATTTCAGATGTCAGACTTAATCACGTTCTATTTTTCTGGGTTATGTGCATGGTGATTAAAAGTGTTTGATAAGTCACTTGTGTACATGCCCAGTTCTACAGATAGTTTTGTAGTGCTGCATGTGGAAAGTTTTATGAGAATTTCTTTAAACTTTCAGTTGTAATTCCATCCAGTTCCTAGGGGTGAAACGATACACCTCCTTCACGGTTTGATACGTATTGTATAATTTTGTCTCGGTTCGGTTATTTTCGATACGATACATTTTGATAGAAGGAAACAAATTCAACGTTGTTTTATGCTTTCTTTTTCTAAATCTAGTCACATATTTTACGAATTTTATTTGCAAATTGACTAAAAGAAATTGATTAAAATTATTTGACTGTCAAAAATTATTTTACAAGCTATCAGTCATAAAAAATTTACGTTTTCTATACTTATTTATACTGAGTAACGTGTTTTACCTTATGCCAAACCCGACTGAATAACGATCCCGACCGAAAAATGAACCGAACCGAAAATTAGAGATTTTGCACCGTGTATCAAACCGAGAAAAAATACCGCGGTGAATCGATACCGCGGTGAACCGTTTCACTCCTACCAGTTCCTTCATAATCCCCTCTCCCAGTTTAATCAATTTATTTTCTCATCTAGCTTTCATCATTTTTAAATTATTATTTCATGATTCCATCATCCTCCTAGCTCACAAAGTTTGATTTATTTTACAACATACTCTTGTTTACTTTAGGCAGCACAAAGTCAGTGTCAGCTGTGATGTTATAAAATGATTTTGATACAGTTGATAAATAAACAACTATTCAAATTATTTCTTACAGAAAATCGTTGGAATTATTCAAATATTGGACCCTGAAGGGAAGGGGAAAATCAACTTTGAAGATTTTTGTGAAGGTGTTCAGCAGATCAACGAACTTCAGGTGCCACCTTCTCCCAGTAAGTATGCAGACAACACCCCCCCCCCCCATCCCATCCATTAGATTCTCAAGAAGAATTTCTCTGGGTACTGTAGACATTATATTTTTTCATGAGGGGTTAATTTCTGTATGTATGCCGTCATAAATTTTCCGCAGAAATTTGTCACAGCATACTTAAAAATGCATTTATAACACATAATGGGAATCCAAGAAATCTGCAGAATTTTCTACCCATGGATTGAACAGTTTTTCCACTGAATTCCACCCCATGAAAAAAAAAGTACATTTACAGTACATGTATTTGAATGTTTTGTTCCAACTGCATCACTGTTCACATTACCACCTATTCATAATCTTCTTCCCCATTATGTATATCAAGATTTATTTACTGGTATATCATAATTTATCATCCTTAATGGATATCTTTAGTAATTTTAGTCATTGTTCAACAGAAAAGCAGCTCATATTCTCTTTAGGCCAGGTAAAATTAAACTTTAGATTCTCATCCCCGCCCGCCCCTATCAAAGTGCCCCGCCCCGTTGTTTTTCATTTTGGTTTTCAAAAGTATTTACATGTATTTTTTACTCCGCAAGAATCACAGTCAAAATCTAAGAGTTATCTCCCGTCTGTATTAAAAGTCGCGTGACGCTATTTATAGCACAAAAGCGGCAGTAAAAGCAGTTTAAATATGTAGGGAAAAGATAATTTGCCAGGATAGAGAAGGCAGAGAAGCAAAAATAACATAAATACATCTAGAAACCATCACTGGCATGAGCAAGTTTTTAAAGAGATTTCAACCAAGTAAAAACAGACGAAGAAAATGACATCTGGTCAAGTTATAACTTAATAATCGCCAGTTGTATGTGATTTTGTTTTTTTGTTTTTTTAAAAAAAAAGATCGTCGCAGACTTTAGAGGATAATAATGCTAAGGAAATGGTAAATCTTAAAAATGTTGAGCATACACTTCTCAGTAGAATATTTTACAGTTTTAGACATCCTGTTTTGCAAAAATGACATATTTTAATGTTGAACGTGTTAAGTCTCAAGAACGAAAGTATGAGGACAGTGGAAATCTGTGATATTTCACACAAAACAAAAGGAGTTGTTGGTAAAACTAAAAGGTATTTGGACAAAGGCTGATGAGAAGTCGTGACTACTACATACAGCATATGCAATTTATTGGGATCCACACCCCATTTTGTGTGACGTGTGCCGTATCTACATGTACTTGAAAATTCATTAATAAAAACTATAAATATTTAATGTTCTATAACAAGAATCTTCTGTAGATATTTAAAAGTAAAATATATTCTTATTGGCATTAACATAATATGAAAATTTTGTGTAAGAAGAGCGTTATGTAAATATTTTCAATAATAAAAAATAAAATCCACCCACCCGCCCCAATTTTTTTAGCAGATTAGGATGAGAATCTAAATTTTAAATTTATGTGGTCTTAGTTTGGTTTTTGGTGACAAGACCTAGATTTTCACTGTTTCATAACATGGTTAAAGGCTGTTCAAAATAAAAACATTATGTATAACATTTTTCTGAACTAATATCCTGCAGGCGGAAAACCTCTTGAAACAGTCACCTTTTAGCTATAACATTTCACATTTTTCCAAAATAAACATAACAATCAGATGTAGTAGACAAGGACATATCAGATATTACAAATAGGAGCATATTATGACAATATAGATACATGTATTACTGGTATATGTGCACAGAATTCAAAGCATTATTTAAGTAATGTTACATTACCTTCATGTGTTAGCAAATCAATTCTTCTTTGTTTACTTTGAAACTGAATTGTGTATGCTATTTTGAATTTAAATGAAGTCTTAAAAATAAATGTATGTAAAAGCAGTTCTTCTTATTGTAATAATTCATTAAAGCCATGAATTATGATGTTTTGGTCTTGTAAAAAGAATTAATCATATTCATAAAGTTAAGGCATAAGTTAGTTATTAATAGTTTTTTTTTTTACTGACGTGTCTGTATCTGATGTGAGAGTAAAAATCAGAGGTTAAATGGCTGAGGAAAAAAAAAATTGTTAGAACTTCAAATTATTAAGGCAGTATGAGTTGTAATGACCCTAGAAATTGTGCTGTCAACGCTTTTACAACAGTCATACAAGGACTTTTTAAGATCAAGCTCTTTAATATTAGGGTTAATCAGTTAAAAGTGTTGACTTTGTGGTCTAGATTGACAATTGTGGTTGAAAAGTTACCTTGATAACTATTGATACTAATTTTAAAGTACTGATAAGTCCAGGTATAATAGGGATGAGTACTTATGTGTATTGTCACTCAGGCATGTCAAGGCTGATTGGTCTGTCACCCATCTGTTCATGTCTACAGGGATTTGACCCTTCGTTGACTGGGAAAAAGCAAGTGACCACAACATCCATAGGCTAATTAGTCTTAATGTATTTGTGTAAACAAAATGCAGGTTTTGTGGTTACAGTGATGTTCAAATTTGAATTAAAAATTGTTTGTCTTGTACATTTTGTGTTAGCACATAGTTTGTTTGCCTTGTTCATGTAGCAAATTTCCGCTTAGTTTATTCAGTCAGCACTGAAAAATCTTGCCTGGAATTATTGTGTATTGTGCTTTTGTTTTGCCTGAGCATAAAATGTCAGATGCACATGCAGTCGACTACAGAAGAGATAATGTTTATAAAATACCTGAAGTTGTGTAATGAATGTTGACATTTTCATTAGAACTATAGGTGCACTTTCATCATTGATATGGCCTTAGGGTAGGCTAGGCTAATCCATGAGAGTATATAGTGCATTGAAACTGCATGCAAATAATATAAGCATTAACCCTGTAGGTAAAATGAATGAATAATTAAAATCACAAGATAATGCCATGATTCTGCAGTTGCACAGCACACTTCATAAGTTTGTACAGTTTATAGGAATTCAAGGTCTTTCATGTCTTCAAAATTATATGGGTATAACAATCTGCAAATTCTGTTTCTTATGAATGTTTTATCATAGTTCTGAATGAGGATGAAACACTAAAAGTCATAAAATAAGCATATATAAAATTACATGTGCTATGTTTTGTTCAAAATTTGTATAAAGGAACATAATTCAAGGTTTTATGATAATTGTACCAATAGATTTAGTTGTTAGAAGAAGGAAATACCTGGTACTGGTACATGTAGTCAAGTGCCAGGGACAAGCTTTTGATTCATTGAAAACATAGTGTGTTATAACCGTTAATACATTCATGATAAAAATCACTTTGCTGTAAGTGTAAATTCACTATAAGTGTGTTCTCTGTAACCTTGTTTTACTGTATATCAAAAGTAGAATAATTAAATGTCAATACCTCAAATCTCCAGTTATAAAGGTGTAAAATACAAAATGTAAAGGTGATGAATGTCTGGGAAAATATAATGTCACAGTGGATGCTTTTCTGATTGCAAAGGGTCTGAGCCCTATTAAGCCCCCCCCCCCCCCCCCCAGCAGGTCAAAGGGAGAAAAGCCCCTGGAAGCTTCACAGATATTGACAATATTTAGAAGTGTTAGATTGAGTCTCAGAATGCATTGTGTGAAGACTATGCATTAACAAATTATCTTCGAGTAATGAAACAAATATATGAAATATATATGTTAGATTCTTTTTTCAAAGAATTTTGTATTTATTTAATTCATATATTTATTTTTGGTGAAAAAATAATATGGATGCCTTGGCATGCATACTTGGTAGCTATGCCACTGGCAGTGGAAATTTTAAGGATATAGAGATTAAAAAATTTACAGAGGCTGAGAGGGTCTGTGTACCTCTCATTATCCTGTATATAAAACTTGATTCTAGTGAACATGTACATTTAGGTGTACATTATCATCGATTTAAAGTCTCTCATGAATTTTGATAGCTCATCTTTTATTAGATTTGTTGCTTTGATCTTATAGTGGAATGTTGGTACTCTTAACAGAGAGAAAAATGGGCATCTGATAGTCAATTTGTTGTGTGTTGCAGGTCTCCCCCCCCCCCCCAAATTGTCATATTGGTAACCAATTAATATTTTCATTATAAATAATGAATGAAATACAAGGGAGCTTGTTTGAAGTGTAACAATAATAATCTTCTGTCAACTGTGACCATTGCCTGAATGAGGGATCAGTCCATTGTGGATACAAATTACCCCTCCCTCACACTGAGAGTTCATTTTTTTGTGTGTTATGTATGAGATCTACTCATTGGATGCCTTTGGGCTTTGTGTAGGGCTTTATTACTTAGTGAATATAGTGCTTTATTAAGTGCGTGTTAATATTTTGGGGGGAGATGAAACTTTATCTCTGCTGTACAGTGCTACTATAAATTAAGACTTTTTTCTTTCATCATGTGTTGCTTTGGATGTGTGTTCAGATGCATGAAATGTTTAATTGTGAAATGTGTGATGTTTTGGAAGAAGTTCTTTGGATTTGGAAAAACAAGTAAAACTCGGGTGTTGCTAGCTGAAAAATGTACCACGACAGCAGACCTACCACATTCCCAGTTCATATGGAGGGAGGGTCTGAGGATGGGATACTATTGTGATAATCAGTTCTCTGGGTTCAGTAAGGGACAGAATCTGACAGACATATATTGTGACAGAAAATGTGTCCCTATTCATCAGATTCTGACCAGTAATGCATACAGATATGGTTGTAAACAGAGGAGAAAAAGAGCAAGAAGAAGAGGTACAAATGTACTTGAAAGATTCTTTCTGCAGCAGCTGAAATTTGAAGGGGGGGGGGCAAGGCTTCAGTTATAAAAAGCTGTCAAACTTTTCTCAGAGGAAAGGAATTATGAAATGAAAACAGGGTTCTGGTATTCTATTAGTTGCTAAGTCCCAGTACAGACACTGGGTGACTCTGTATTATGTCCAAAACTAACTGTAAAAAAAAATTCTCCTGCTGAAGACCTAAACAAGGTTTGTTTAGAACTTTAGTAACATAAGTAATAATGCAAAGATAACATTTCAAGCATCATACTGTAAACCAACTATTATTCGCGTCAACTTTTATTCACGATTTGTCGGTTTGAAATCAATCCGCGACGATTAATTTTCGCGACGGAGGAAACATTCTCTACGAATACAATGCAAAACAAATGGTTCGCAGCGATAAATATTCGTGAGTTAAAGTATGTCGCGAAAATCGCGAATATTTCTCACATGCGAATAAAAGTTGGTTTACAGTATATAATCACAGTACATGTTTCATAATATCACAATTGAAAGAATATTAACAAAAAAGTTCAATTTGCATACTCAAAGCGACTTGTTTGCAACAGTGATTTTTTTTTTTTGGTCAAGAATCTACAAATTTGTCCTAAGCAGGATAAATTGTTTTCTGCTACAGTCATAATCCACTAATAAAACCAAAGTTGTCAATGTGTTATCATTGGGTGGGAAAGTTTTTCACTGAAATCTCAGGATTAGTGGAAATAGTGTACAACATTAGATAGACACAAGACAGTTGTGTTCATTTTGACCAAAGTTTGTGTCAAAATATAGCTCCTCTCGAAGATTTCAGTGGACATAATATAACCATTTGTTTATTCCTCATTCCAATTTGTCCATGACCTTTCCTTTTCAGCAGATAAGAATTAAATCAGATAAACTTAATTTTAAGTAAATGTTGATTTTTGCTATAGTTTGATGCTTGAATTATCAAGAAGATTTATCAATTTGCCCTTCAATTTATGCACAATTGAACACTGACTTATAATGCATGCCCTTAACTCCTAATAGAGGGTTACTTCAAGATTAGGTTATAGAGGACAAAGTCTTTCAAAGTTCCTGGTCCATTAATTATTGCAAGAAAAAAGAAGGATGTTTATAGAATGCACTACATAGTTAAACTTCAGTAAGTTCAGCAATACATGTACAGGAATATATTGTTAACATGCATGGAAGGCATTTTGTAATGACTCATTATTTATTACCCTGAAATATCATTAAAACTTACACAACTAGATTTTAGCTGGAAGTAGCAAGATGTGAAATCAAGGATCAAGCAGTTTAAAGCTATAACTCTCAATTTTTTTCATTCATTGAAATTCATGCAGGTGTAAAAAAAAAAAAAAAAAAAAACATTATATAATAGTTGCACCTTATTAATCCAGACATTTGTGTTCCTGAGCAAATTGTCTGGATAAATGAAGCATCCAGATTACTGAAACTAACTTGAGATAATTAATAAATAAATATAAATTGTTCCCCAAAAATTTCAACCAGAAGGTGAAGCATCCGGATTATTGCACCCAGATTAATGAGGCTCCACTGTATATATCTATATCTGCTGGTTTATACTAATAGCCTAAATGAATTGTTACAGTAAGTCAGAGATGGTATTATGTTCTTGTTTTTGCAGTAAGTCCAGTCAGTACAGGGAGCTTCTTCCAGATACCCAGTCCCTCAACAAACAACAACAACCTCCTGAATGGACTTGATGACATCATCACCGAGGACGTGTCCTCAACAGAGGTCAGTCTTAGACAGATCTGAAGTTATATTACTCTTCAGTGTAACCATGTTTTCTCATAATTTATCAAATGCAGCAAATACATTAATAAAAAACTACTTGTGATGAAAACCATTTTTTTTTTTTGAGCAGAAAAGTTTGAACTTAAATTTTGTGCCATTATAGTCTCTTAAGATTGAGTTATACATAAAAGTTAAAGATATGTCAAATGGTGTATTGATTGTGTTAACTTTTGCAGTTCCCTGAAACATCTGAGGCGAGTGCATACACTTACAATGAATATGACACGAACACAGATGAAGATGGTCAAGGACAGGGGCTGCTTATTGACCTGTCCACACCCGAACCTGTCCGCAGGAATCTTCACAACACACCTAATGGGTAAGTTACCCGAGAGTCTGTACTACAGATAAATTCTATAGGCAGGGGACACAGACAGATAGAATATTACACATATTTCTCTATTGCAAGTGAGTTAAGGCTAGGTATAGGCTTTTTTTATGCAGATGAACCAATTAAAATGCCTAGGGGTTATACCAATGATCCAGAAATAGTTCAACTTTACTGTCTACTACATACTTGGTACCCGTGACATGAAATAGCCAGTGCACATTCTGATGTCATATTATGTCGTCATTGTTCTTTACTACATAATATTATAACATCAATAAAATAGTTTCGGCGCAAGGGCATACCCTATTTTATTCAACAGAAACAAGGTATAATTAGAAGCAGAATATTCCAAGGATTTTCATATTGCTGCACAAATATCGACAGTTCAATTGTTTAGTTACTATACGTAAAGTTTAAGTTGAAACAGGGTAAAAATGCACAGTCTGGTATAATAAGTTTCCTCAAATTCTAATCAAATGAGAGAATGCATAGGATTTTTGCAGCAATTTTGTTAATCTATAGAATATTCTTTATAGCATTATACAATTTTTTTGTAAAATTAAAAATTGTGGGGATGTGCTATTTTATTGGTATACTGGTATATCGTGATTTTTTATTGTGCGATACGTATTGTGATACAGAGACTAAAATACTGGTATGTAGAAGGTAATTATAAATTCCAAGGATAATTAATTTTTTTGTTCAAACTCTTTAACTACAAATACAGGAATTGTAAAAAAAAAAAAAAGAAAAAGTGTTGTAAAACAGTAAAACAACAGCATCCTAGCATCAAAACATGGATACAGGGAAAAATGGTGATATATCATAATAAAAAATTTTTGGTGATACCCATGCAAGCCTATTAAACAGGATATGCCCTGGCACCAAAGCTGTTTTGTTGATGTGTTTATAATTACCTCCAGTAGTTAAAAAAAATGATGTCATACTATGACGTCATAATGTCTACTAGCAATAACATGTCATGTATACATGTACTAAATATGTGTAAGAAAAAGAACTAAACTTTCTCTGCATAATAGATGTACCTCTTATGTATTTTTATTAGCTCATTTGCATAGAAATGCCTGTACTTAACCTTAACTCACATGGGATAACATTCTGTTTTATAAGCATACACCCAAAATACTTTGATTAAAGAAGAAATAAAAATTATAAGAACTTGCATTTTTTTGTGGCCAAACATATTTCATACATTTGATATCAGTATACAAACTGTACTCTCCTCAAGTGTAAATTCCATACTTTAAATGACAGCATGTAATTTCTTGTATGTAGAATCATGTGCATTATGTATTTCCTGTATCATAAGCATCCACACATTTCACCTTGAAACAAAGCCTGATTGAGTTGTGAATCATTACTAGAAACTATAAACTAAATTTTATTAACGTGCGAGAAATACCAGTAAATTTCGCACCCTTCTCTCACTCTGCAATGTTTTTTGTAGGGAATCATATATCTAATTTTGTATCAAATGTATTGAATGTTTCCGCAGTCATGAAAATCTTTAGTCCTGGATTGATTTCAAACTGACAAATCACAAATAAAAGTTGTCATAATAACAGTTGGTTAACAGTATTACTGAAAATTCCAATTTTTTCATTTAGAAATGAAGTTACAAATAGGAATAAAATATCTTCCTTTCAACAAAATGAAAAAGTGATCTTATATATTGAGTCAGGCTTGTTTCAGCATGATAAAATGTGAACTCTTTACAATGCATGACTCTTTCTATCTCTCCAAACAGAAGAGTAGGGTTTCCACATGAAGAGAATTTTGAGGACTTTGGTGTTGATGATATAGAATCAGACTTTTCTGAGCCCTCACAAAACAGGTCAGTGAGTTACAGACAATATAAAGCATTAACACTCTGTCTGATATTCAGATTTCAGTTCAAAGTATGCAATTGTTATGGATCTATGGATGGTAAAAGAAACACATATACTGTAGATTCCTTATTTTTTGCAAGTACTTATTTTCGCGAAATGACTCTTTTACGTCAAATCGCAAGAACAATAATTCGTGAGTGGACGGTTGATCGAGATATTTTACATTGATTTCAGCACCATAAAAATAAAAGCGAGTAACTTTATTTCGCGAGTGGTGCTTCTCGCGTAATTACGCGATAATTTATTCCTCGCGTATATTTAGGAATCTACAGTACAATGCACAAATATTGGCCTTACAATTGCATACAAATAGCATTGTAAGAAAGTACTGCAATTTCTTAAATCAATTAATGATCTTTTATTATGGATTTGTGTTAAAAAAATTGATCAAGAATGTATTGGTCTTAGAGAGGTTTTCCATTATTTTACAGAAGTCACGATAGTTTACACAAAGTTAGAACCAGAAGGGGAGATAAACATCGTAAAAACCTAGGGTAGATAACTCTTGATCTTTTGCATGTGTGGGGAAGGGCAATGCTGCTATCTACACATGTAGTTGCCTTTGTATTTTGTTTTTGACTAACACTGCATGGACTTTTAACAGTTGTAGAACCCATGGTTGTAACATTGAAGAATCTTTGGCAAATGCTTATGAATGTTTGCTTGCAAGCTTGAAACATGCAGTTTATCCTAGACTAATGATTAGGCATTATATATATATTTACATATTTAAATAAAATAAAGTGATAATGCCTCATGAACACATTGCAAATTTGTGAAGAAAGAATTTTTTTATTTGAATAAGTGGGTTTTTGGTTAGCTGAAATTGTTTTGATTTTGGTCTGAATCATGCTCGTCAGAGTATGATCAGTTCTGAATGCTTGGTTATACGTTTTGCAGTACTAATCAGAAACATTAGATAATAATTGGAGTATCATTATTATTTATCTTTTTGAGCTTGATGACTGAGGTGACATAAATATGTCATATAAAAAGTAAGAAACACAGAAGCCAGTCTCTTAATACATAAATGTCACAAGTGAGAAATAACCACAAAATCCTGATCTTGATGTACAGTGGTACATAATGTATATTTATTTATCTGTACATATTAACAATGTACATATAGGATCTAGATCACTGTATACAAAGCTGTAGGAATTTGATGAAATTGGGAGTAAAATAAAGATCTATGGAATCTAAGTCTTGGAAATCTAGGTGAGAATATACCAGTAGTGTATATCCATACATGTTTTATTTAATCCTAAAGAGACCTACTTCAAGTAAACAGATTTATTGTCAGTGAGGTAGTTTCTTTATGGTCAAATTTCCTAATATGGCGGCCAACTCTTCATTTCAGATATATTGCTTGTGTGTTCCTATTTTTCCATGAACTATACTCTGTTTTACTAGTACACATGCTAAATCTTCTTAGGTGTTGATTTTCTGTCAGTGTGGCAATCTAATTTACTAATATAACATTGTGGACAGTGTGCTTTATATAGATGTACTAATTAGGTCACTTTATGCACTATTTATGACTATCAACGAGGTCAAAGTAGATATACACATGTATGTGCTGATTAATAGATAGATAGTTGACATCAGAATTAAGGTGAAACCAGGAAGCTAGACTTATGTAGAGGACTCTGCTTATAAACAAATAAAACATGCTTTTCAGATCTAGCAGGGGGTCATGGGGATGGGGGGGGGGGGGTTCCACCAGACAGCCACCCCTTATTGGATTTTCAAAGTTTCCAAATTTGTACTGTATATTAAAATAAAGAAATATGACTTGGAACACCCCCCCACCCACCCCCCTACCCCCACCCCCTGGATCTGAGCATGCTAATACAGTGAAGTATAGATTACTGATGTGCTTTGTATTAATTCTAGTTGCTTGTTCAATTATTTCGTATAACAAAGTGATCAGTAGAATAAATTGATGCATACACACTACAAGACAGAGGCAATTAATTAATTGAATGAAATTGACTATATACAGAATCACAATATATCATGCTGGCTTAACATTCACTTTGTGTTGTACAGAATATTGGCCCAGTGAGAGGCACTTGTTGATTAATGTATTTTATTTTTCAGCCAAAGGTCCAGGGTGACATCTGCTGCATATGCAAGGTGAGTCAATGATAATTCATTGTATATGAATATTTTGTTTGTTTGGTTTTTTTTTTTCATTTTTTCATTCTTTTTTGGCCTATATCCTATTTGCAAAAGTCAAATACATAGTAATTCTGAAATGTGAAGACCTGGGTTCTTTTTAGTCATCTTCAAAGCAGATCCCGAATGGAACCAGGGGAGGAGGTTTTGGACGACATTGACGGGAATTTCCAGAGCCTGAATGATCGGGTAAGAATGACTCAATAAGGAAATATATGAAGGCCCTTGATTACTGTTGACTAATACGGAAATGCTTGCCGTTAATAAACATCCCTGATCAGTCATGCAGTTCTTAAAGAATTAATTCGAAGTAAACACAAGACCGTTTTCATTTCTTTCATTAAGTTTTGGGAGCAATAGTAATTTTTTACCCAAGGGAAGATGATGTTTCCATCTCTGATTTTACGTTTCATAAAATCGGTATTATATTTGCTTTGTCACTCGTTCACATACACAGGACATTTCTTGTTTGAGGCAGACTATTCATTATTTTGATATGGAAAGGAAGACCTGTCACTAACAAACTTGTGATTTCATTGTATTTCCTGCAAATACATGTATATCCATTATACAGTTTCATTTGGAACTGGAAGCAAACAATGTGCAAAGAAATTCACAATTTATTCTATCAGTCATGCAGTAGTAAACATGAAATGAATATAAATCATACAGTTCACAATCAAGATTGATGTTAAGTTTGTGGTCTTTTTTTAATGCAAACCTTGACTTGCTGTGTGTATACAGTATCAACAGGACATATTCCATGGTTTGGACTGATCCGTCTCTGAAGATTTCCTTGTTATAATGTGTATATAGTTCAGAAGTCTCTTAAATGTGATTTTATCTACACAAAGACTTGAAAAAAATGCATAAAACATTTAGGGAAATTTGCCAATTACATGCATGTATTTTTTCCCCACATAAATATGTGTGTATACCCTGTAAAGAATAAAGAGAGCAGATGTTTCAAAAGGTCAAATTTTGAGGAAAGTAACACATTTATTAAATATTTACTACGTTTGACCACCTGTCATCTTTATCCAAACTATTATCACAGGTGACATACTGATTTCAGGTGGGATGTTGATTTTGTGTTCATTAGCTATAGTGGTAGATGGCAGATGTTATCATATAGTCACCTAACAATGCTTATCTCAATGAATTGTTTAAGAATCAGCTGAAGGTTTAAAACCCTACAGATTCGGAATTTGATGAATTTCAATACAACTTGATGAGATTAATTATCATTACATTAGGTTTGTACCTTTATTATCCATCTACCAGCCCTGGGTGTTACTTAATTCAATTATTTTGATCTTCATTACATTGTCAGTTTTCCAAATTCAGTATTGTGGGTAATTCACTCAACATGCCAGGGTTCACATTCAAAATTTTATGTACTTTGTGGACCTAAATCACATACATGTATAAGAATTTAATAAAAGATGGAGGCAGAAAAAATGCACAAATATTTCTAAAACAGCAGAAAACGATGGATATCAAAAACTGAAAAAGATATTTCTATGAAAATTATCATGAATGTTTTTAATTTATGTCTATAGGTGCAGTTTTTAGAGAAACAGTTAGTCCATATGACAGAGGAGAAAACATCTGTAGACACTAGCCACTCTAAACTAAAGGATGAAAATAGTCATCTAATGGAAAGGTGTGTGTTCAGGATTACATCTACCCTGATTTAGGGACTACTTTTTTATTACCTTCATAAAAAGACACACAGAGCCTAATGGTCAGGTGTCAATGGTTATAAGTTCAGATAAATTGATGACCAGCTGGTATTGCAGAAGACAATTTAGCCTCAGGGGGTAGTAATGTTGTAAATTTGTTTTTCTTCTCTTTTAGGAAAATTACCTTTGTAAGACATGTTTTACAAAAAAAATAATAGTTCTGAATATCTTTTAATATGCATTCATGTGGCCCATTTTGACTTTGAAAAGAAGGCCTATAATTATCATGTATTTAGTTACATTATGTGTCATTTAAGGAAAGTTAAGTATGCCAAAATTTATCTGCTATAAATAAGGATATTTTAAATGTACTGATAAATCTCTGTCTAGCAGTATAAAAACAGATGTTTACATTTTAATCATAGCATAGTGGACAGGTAAGAAAACTCAATATAGATGTAGTGTGAGAATATATCTATTGGTGTATGGTGTGTAGTACATATAGCTGTGTTTTAACATAGTGTGCTGGTGTAGTAGAAAATCTTTGATTGACATTTAATTCCAATTTTTCACTGTGCATCACTTTTTCAATTGCAGTGAACTACGAAAAGTTAAAATTTGGTATTTGTAAAATTCAATCAGCTACCAATATAACTACTGGTAATTCTCTTTTTACAAGAGACATGTTTTACAAAAGTTAAACACATGTCCTTTGATAATTAAAACAAATGTCAATTAAGGGTTAACTAGTGCCCTCATCAATCAAAGCTTCTGTCAAGTATTGATGGTAGGTACAAGCTTGAGATTTTGTTTATCAAATAAAGCAATGTAATATTGTGCAGTTCTGAGCAGATCAGAAGAAGGGGGGGGGGGGGGGGGGGGTGTTGAAGTCTACGTAAAAGGTGTATATTTTCTTTAAAAAAAAATCAGAGAGTTTTCTCTCTCTCTTTTTTTTTGGACAAGCATGACTTCACTTTATGATTTCACTTGATCTGTCTTGGAATGACATATTTTTCAATACTAGCAAGCTAAGCTTATTCTGATCTTCATGAAAATTGAGTATGCTTGTTCTAACAAACATAGATAGCCTAATTGTTCTGTGTCTAGTTCTGGAATTGGTGATGATTTCAATTCTTTTAATTATATGCTATATTCTATTCTATGTATGAATATGAGGGTGGCTTTCTTTTATCTCTGTGAAGGTAAAAAATATAAAAAGCAATGTCTGTTTCCTAATTGTAAGTTATAGCTTTTGTTCTTTCTATAGCAATAACTAGCATCACTGGCTGTATTATTATTATTTTTTTTTTTTATCAATATATCACATAAAAGAATGTCAGTTTGCTTAATGATTTTAAATTAAGAATCTTATGTTACACATTTTTGTCAGCTTTTTGTCTCTCATTTCGTTATAAGAAATCATAACAAAATAGGTGTTTCCCAAATTATCTTGCACAATATGAATAGCCTTGAGTGAAATGGTGTTCTAGACATGACATGCTGTTCACCCTATGATGTTAGGTCTAATGACATATTTCAGTGATGAGTCAGATTTTGACCTCTTGCAGTTTTCTACTGATGTTATACCTGGGTCTTCCATTACAGGATTCATTCGTTAGAAGAACAACTAAAGGATGTGGAGGTGAAATCCCAAGAAACCCTCGCAGAGGAACAGAGGAAGTTTAAACAAATGCTGGTGAGTTTTCTCTCTATCTCTTCCTTCTCTCAATCTCTTGGTGATATTACATCTAAATCAACAAGCAGTACTTTCTTTTAACTGTATTTCAACCAGTTCCTAACAATACAGGTATCAGATAAATTGATTTCGTAGACTCTAGTTGAAGTTTTTGTATCTCTGTGTAAATATATTCCTCTTACTGTGAAGCTGAAAAATTGATTTTGAATGAATGAAATGTTTTATGTGTAAATAATTGTCACCAAAGAAACCAGGCAGAAATAGGTTAAACACAGTATTTACTTAAGAAGCTCAAAATAAAATTCAAATCTAGCTAGCTATTTAGTCAAATCATAAAAGGGACTAATTAAAATTTGATAAAAATTGGGTGAGTTCATTAGATCATCTTACGGGATGTAGAATGAAGTTTGTGTCCTCAGGATACACCAACTTCAGGATTTTATATAGTAAATTAAGACAGATATCCCCCCCCCCCCCCCCCCCCGCCCTCCCCCTTCCCACCCCACATACACACAAAAAGAAAGCAAGTTTATACATTATAAACTGTTGAATTTTATATGCAAGTATTCTCTTGTAAGGTAGATTCAAGTTTGTCCAAGGTAAGCATAAGAGGGATTCAAAGTTTTGTATGAAAAATTGCATGAGAAATCATAATTAAAAAAAAAGGATGTTAAGTTTGAAATATGCATGGAAATTTTTTTTGACCTTTTTTCAATATAACAGAGGGCTATTAAAATGTTATATAACATGCAAGCATCCATTGTTCAGTTTGATCTTATTTTTTGTAGTTTTATAGTCAAAATCATAGCACCCAGTGTTGGGCACTCACAAGGAACCAAAATTTTATTAAGAAAAGGACTTGTATTTAGTCTATGAAGAAATAAAAAGGCTATATGTTTTCAAATTAATATGCAGACATTTTTTTGTAATGCAAGTTAAAATTTTGATATAATGTCTACCTTGTTTTGGATCTTTGTAGAGAGGTTGATTTTATAAAGCCCTTAGAAGAGCAATATAACAGCAGTGACAGTTATAGACAGTGTTTCCCCATGCGATATTACATTAGCATCTTGTTTATAGTTATTTGGACATTATAAATTTTTTAATCAATGTTTTGTTTCGATACAACTGAAACAATTGTCCTCCCAGCAGTTTTCAATGCTGATTACATTGCACAGATTCATTAGATCAAAGTAGAGTCTGTGAAGCAGGACAAGTAAGTCTTGTTTACACTGTAGAGGACTTGTATTCCAGCTGAATCTTGTTTACACTGTAGAGGACTTGTATCCCAGCTGATATACTGACACACCTGCTAATGACATTTGTACCTGCCCTAAAGACAGCTTAATTCATTGATTTTTTTCTTTATATAATTCCTGTGTATTGATTTTGTATCCTTTGTCTTCTTTCAGTCTCGGGCAGAAACAGAGAAGACAGAACAAATGTATATTTCTCAGAGGTACGTCTTAAAGAGACAGTAAGTTTTTGTGTGATAATGAAATGGATGTACATTTAGAAGGAAATTAATGCAATGAAGGTATTCAGATATAAAAGATTTTTTTTCTCAAAATACATGTACAGGGTAAATGAATGACGATTCATAAGTTGTTTGTGAACTACTTTAGTAATGCTTATGGATTTTTCTTTTTTTTTTCCTTTTCCCAGGCTGCAGAGTATAGAACACGAGTATGAGCAGTTGAAACAAGAAAATCCCAAACTCCGACTAGAAATAGACAAATTACGAGTGGTAAATTGTCATTTTTTTTTATCTGAAATAAATGTGTAATGTATTAATGTCAAAAAGACTATTTATGCTATACATTTCAAACTACTTTTACAAAGTATCTGATTATTTCTTCCTTTAATTTTGAATTTTATAACTTTTGAACAACTGATATATAAGAAAAATTAATTCCTGCTACAGGAGAAGTTAGACCTTCAGGATAAACTGACAGAGGCCCAGGCAGATTACAACACCCTGTATAGTGAACACGAGGAACTCAAGCAGAAGTTTGACAAGTCTAGACAGACTACTGGAACAGTAGGTATCTTCTTCCTATCAATACAGAATCGATCTTTAATTATCTAAAGGCTTTCATGTACCGTAAAATCAGAGTACAATATCCAATATTTTTTCCTAAAACGACGAAAATTTGACCCATCAAAAATGTAATTTTACAGTACTTTTCATAATTAAGATTGAATGTGTCTGAAACTTGCGCTTGTGGTGATTATGAGTACACATGCTCCGGAAGGCAGCCCTTAATTTCTTTGATGAAAATATGCGTTGGATTTTAAATGAAAAGAAGCTTTCCTGTATTTTCCTTTGATATATTAAACAACATAAGGTTGCAAAAAAAAAAAAAAAGAAAAAAAAACAGTGTCAAGGTACTAAGGGTCCTCTGTGACTGAAAAATTTTGAGATCTATTTCTGTGGGAGGAAAATCATTTCAGTTCTCAGAAGCATTGCTGAATTTTGAAATAAAAAAATTTGACAAAAGCTGGAGCTAAAGATTACATGAATATTAAATAAAAATATCATGACATGTTTTGTAGCTTCTGGATGAGTTAGGGAAGGAGCTGGAAGAATTACGTAAATATAAGATTGACCATGAACTAGGTCAATCTCAGCGTCCCCGAAATAACAGCTTGGCGGAATTACCAAGTCGATATCAAGCACTGAACACTGAGGTCAATAGGTTAAAGGAAGTGAGTATATCTTTATGAATTTTTTTACAGCTTTTTGCAGAAATAAGCTGAAACTGTTTCAGCATTTTAGATCAATCTGCTTCAAAATCAAGGCTATGTGTCTTTGAAGTGTGTCAGATGTTTTCAATATATTTGTAATTTCTCATCTGAGAGCATTTTTTCTAACTCTGTTTCTGACACAATTCTGACTTGTTTCTTGTTAACTTGGAAGGCCCTATCTTCAGAATGGAGGACACTCTCTCAGGTTTGTGTGATTGTCTAGCAGAATAGAGGCATTACTGTTGTGCATTTTTGGGTGCTTGTGTTTCTTGTTGGTCAACACAATATAATTAGGGCTTAAATGTGCTTCCTTAAAAGAGAGCAGCCCCCTTCTTCCTGTTTGCTCCTTCCAGTTTCCATTAACCGTAGAAATCACATCTTGTAGTGTGCCAAAGGTATATTATTCAGACATGCATGAACCAAGGAATTTTGAAGTCTGGGTAATTTTTTTAACGGTCTCATTAGTATGATAGTTATAAAGTACATAATTCATAAAGCATGAAGATCCCACCCCACTCCACCCCCTTCAACGGTTCCCTTAAGTTTTTTTAACCCAACAAATGTATATGTAGAAATGTCAACAAAAATTTTAAAAAATACAAAACCTGGCATGTTTTTTGCTTGTCAATATTTGCATTTAAAATTTTGAATGCCCTTTTTCATAATCTGTCAGAAACTATATTGTGTTGAAAAACAGTATTAATGTTGCTTTATTTCAGAGATTCTGAATTGTTGAATGCAATGGTTCTCTTTTGCTTTGCAGTTGAATATTTTTCATCTATTAGAGGTCTTGCTTTCACATTTTTTTCTTTATTCATTTTTCCATTCAAGTTACAAATTGTTAATTCAAGTTCTGTTTACATTGAGTTTGAGAAAGAATGTGAATTTATGATTTACTTCAGTTTTCCATTTCTTTATTTTGATTTTGTGAAATTAGTTATATGCAGTTTACATCGGTCAACATCAAAACTAAGTAGTCAGTGAATAAAAGATCAAGAGTTTGACAAAATGTTTAGCTAATCCTGAAAAGGGAAATAACTTACTATGACTTAAAATGCAGCGAATATTTGAACCCAATACATATGTGAAGTGAATTACTAGTAGTTGGAATGAGTTGTAAATTTTACTTTTTATTAGAAATACATTTGACATTTTGCAAAGTTTGCAATCTTCCTTTGATATTTAATGTAACAGATTTATTAGTATTCTAAATCATGTACAAATACCACTGTATTTAATGTTCTGTATATCTCAATTAGTGCCACACTGCTTGTTAAAAAATAATGCAAATGCTATGCATGTTTTTCACTGCTAAATTTCTCTCAGATATTTTTTTAAATGGACCTTCTGTCTTTCTTGAAAAATACTCACAGAAAATGACATTACCTACATGTACATACTTAGTAAAAGTTATTTTCTATTTCTAGAAAATTTAAATCATATCCCCCCTTCCTTATTAGTATGATGATAAATAACAAGACAATCCAGAAACCATTATTAAAAAAAGTCTTTAATTGAATTGTAGGAGAACAAACAGCTTCATGATCTAAATGAAGATCTAAATGCTCAGCTGTTGACACGGTGCATCAATGAAGGAAAGACCCTCGTCAACGATACGAAAGAGAAGTCTCTAGCCACTGAACTCGAGCATTTAACCAAGGAGGAGGTTTGTTGGATATGTTTAAGCTGACTTCAATTTAGGGCAATGGTTGTTCAGGCAGAAATCACTAATTTTCATGGGGGTTTAATTTTCATTTCCTTCATGGTATGAATAGGTCCACGAAATGATGTCCCCCACGAAATGTGAAAATCCTATACTGCAGTATGATGTTTTTCCTTTATCCATGAAATCAAACCTCCTCAAAACAGTCATTTTTCCTCAAACCACGAAAGATTGAACCATGAAAATAAGCGATTTTACAATATGTTTGTTTTTAAAGTATACTGATGACCAGTTTTGAGTAATGATAGATTCAAAGAAAAAAAATACTTTTATCCTTTGCAAAATATAATTAATATTACATTATTTTCTTAAAGTTCAGTTGTTGGATTCTTCAATTGTGATGTTTAAAATAATTGTAGAACTGTAGAACTATTTACTATAATATGAAATAATAAAAATATTTTCATTTTTTTTCTCCAGCTAATGACAAGACTCCAGGAAGTGGAAACTGTGAACATTAACCTAAAATCTTATGTGGACAAAATTATACTCACCATTCTTGAAAAAAATCCCTCCATATTGGAAATAACAAATCGATAATGTCTTATGTAAAAGAGAAGAAAGCCAGTGTTTTAGATTTTTCTGTGATATCCAAAGGGTAGAATTGATATTGTCTCATGAATGAAGGAAACTGTGGTAAGCTGGACTTATCCTTATATGGTATCTCATGTTTATTTATCAACCTGGAGGAAACCAATGAATTCCATGGAAGACCAGAAATACAAAATGGTCATGGAAGGATGGCATCCTGATCTCATGAATATTCATGTTGCTATTGTTGACTTTTATAAACAAAAAGAATTCACATTTTTTCATGCCTTTCTATTCTGTCCATGCAGTGTTAAAAAAAATAATTGTGTAATAGACAGTATAATGTGTGTTTGGGTTGTGTGGACAGTAGTTTGAAATTGAGAATTTCTTTTTAGTGCAAAGGAGACTACCGGTAGATTTGTGATGGGATGATATTGCGTTGATTTCATCCCAGGATATTTGAAAAAAGGTGATATTTATCTTTATTAATTTAATTGAAATGTAGAAAGAAACCAATTGTTTCTTAATGGATTGAAAGATCATGTACTATTAGAATTCTTGAATTTGCACAATTTTTCAGTGTTGTGAATTTTTTTTTTTTGTTAATGTGAAAACATATCAAGAGAGATAACTGTGGGAGAGAAACATCTTCGAAGAAAACTATGCATTTTTTGCCTTTTCATTTAAATGTACAGTTGTTCTTTCATGTTACCAGAAAAATATACATGTATTCCATTAAATAAAAGGACAAGATTCCTCCATATCTATTCAATATACACTTGTTGAAAAACTGTAAAGATGTTTTATTTTTACAAAGATATTTTCATTTCACAAATGATGTTTGATGTACGGTATTAATCATGTATATACATGGAACTTGCAGGATTTTTCCAAGTTGGTGCTTAATTAATCAATGTCATATAGGAATACAAAGTACATAGAATTTAAGTACCGGTACAAATTTCTGTATTAAACAGCATTTAAGATATTAAATCATTTTTTAAATATATTTGTCAAAGCAGTAATATTTTCTAGCTTTCTTATGCTTCCTTTAAGTTTTCACTTTTTCTACATTAATATTGTTACATGGTACTTTTTTATTTCTCTAAATGGACCAGAGATGGTAAGCAGAGTAAAAACTCAATACATGTATTTCATTTCATTTTCATTTTACCTACAAATGGATTGTGAAAAAAATAAAATGATTTTTAACAAGAGTAGTGCCAGTAGAAGAATTAGTGAGCAGATGTTGTAGATTTTGAAGAAGTTAAATTATGATAGATTTCCAATTTTATACTCTATTTTATACAAGGCTAGATTTTTGTCATAAATTTTCTGTCTCTTTTTTTTATGTATACATGTGAATGATACAGAGATAGTCTGCTAAGTAGAGAAATGACTAATGATTTTTGCCCTGTTGATTATATATTCACAGTATTGCTGTATTTTTTTTTTGTGTTGCCTATAGAACATGGCACACATACAGGGATCACTTTGTCTGGTATCCATCTATCTGTCTGTCTGTCTGCCTAGGAGAAGTACTACAGCAGGTCACTACTCTAATAAAATACTTCTTTGTGAACCTTTATATCTATACTGCTCTGAATGCATTTTAATTTTGTGTTGTTATTCACTGATTCATTTACACTGATAGATTTAAACATAAATTTACAGGTTAAATATTTGTTTAATTCTTATCATCAAGTACAATAAAATAAGGAACTTATAATTTGGTAAGATGAATTCTGATGAATTGGTTCATTAACAGGGTTTATCTAAAAGATGGGATGGGAGTAGTTATCTTTCTTGTTTTTAACTTTAACCTCTAAGGTACTTAAAAATGTATATATTGAAATATAGCATGTGAATATTTAGCTTGAACTATCCATGTCTTCAAAACTGAAAATGTGTAAGGAAAGCATCATTGACTAACTGTTCATTTAAGCTGCCCCTTGAAAGTTTTTACACATTGTTCATTTATATCGGGAAAACCATTCTGGTGGTAGTTTGCCCAGCATTCATGTGACTGTCTTTAAATATTTGACTTTTTTATTCTATTTGAAATAATTGAGCATTATGGCCTATGAACTTCCTATTAAAATTCAGATATATTTTCTGTGATGTGGTACAATGTACCTTCATACTACACATATGTTCCAAACAGTGTGGTTAAATATTTTTACTATGATTTTCTTATAAACTAAGGCATCTTGGTATAGAGTTTATGTCATAAAACTATTCAAAATATGACTATATATGGTATAAGAACTCTTTATAGAGAAGTGATATGAGCAAAGTTTTACATTTTTAATGAGGCAAAGACATTGATTTATCATACAAACATCCACAGCTTACTGCTTGGAATATGTTATTTTCTCATATCAGTGCTATTTTTTTTAGTTGCATTTGTGTCTTTGATCTAGTCATATTTATTTCATTTTCTCACTTTAAAATTAACATTAATTGTCTTCTTTCAAAGTCTATAGTCATAATCATTCAGTGAGTTGTGTTTTTGACATGCAGAAATTCATTCCATTTTGCTGCGAGTTATTTGCAGTCTGTTATTTAATTGTTATGAAATGTTTAAAAAAGTGTATTTTAATTAATGGTCACATACAATATCAGAGCTTGGTAGAGAAAGACATCATGCAGCATAAATTGTTCAAAATAAATTAGAAAACTACAAATTTGTGTCTGTGTTTCTGTCAGCTATTTTGTAAATTCTTTATTTCATGGGAACAAGAACTTTGTGAAGGTTATGTGATTTGACTGCTATTTGTACACAGTATTTACATATAATGAGTTTCTTATAGACTCTGAATTCCTCTCTCTCAATATTTTGACTAGTAGGGAACATGGGGAAGTGAATAAATTAATTTTAACTACATGTCAATAATATGCACCATTTCTGTCCATTCAAACAAATATGGATGTGTACTCCTTGAATGTTACACTTGTCCATTCATTAACAAAGGAAATAGCGGAAAAGTTTCTTTATTCTTTAAAACATGTATATACAGTCCTTCCCTTTTTTAATACACGAAAATAGTCACGGAGATATTGTATGTCTAGATTCTCAACATGTGAATAGTATATATACGTACTTAGTTACCCTAAGACTGCAATTGTTATCCGAGTTCCTACAGAGCATCAAAGGAATAATAAACTTGCTTTGTCCCGATTAGAGGTAATTATGTGCTTTATTATGTCAGAGCAAAACTATTACGTCTTATAGAAATACCCATCGTCGGAACCCACGGGTTTTCTCTCCGTTACACTAACATTCAATGTACATTGAATGTAGTGTAACGGAGAGAAACCCATCGTCGGAACCCACGGGTTTTCTCTCCGTTACACTAACATTCAATGTACATTGAATGTAGTGTAACGGAGAGAAAACCCGTGGGTTCCGACGATGAAAAATACCGCTGATCGTACTCACATATGCAAATTAAGGACATTCGCAATGTACTTTACCTACTGATAATTTTTCAAGATATTCTTGATTTAAGATTATATAGTGCTATCAGATGTTTGTAGAAAAAGAAAATCAGCATGTATTACCAGGAGTTTTGAAAAGATATCAATTGATGAAAATTCTTGTATAATTAAAAGAAAAATATACAAAAATTACTAAACATATATTCTAGATATGTTTCGTTTATCCAGACTTGCATGTTTTAGAAGAAGTGTACAACAGCATATATAGACATTAAAATGTAGCACACAGTTCCTTTAAGTATTGGAACTCTCTTCAACTCCAGGGAAAAAGAAAATAAAGTTCAAACTACGTTGCGTATGTCCTTAAAACGACAATTGTACATCGGGAAATGGTTGCAGATTTAGCTATACATTCTTTAGTTCAGATTATATTAATGATTTTCATGTGATTTGAAAGATATGTAAAAAATATACTTGAAAACTCAAAATAGCAAGTCAGTTCCTAATACGTATAGAAATCTATATACGACACACACAAACCATTCAACTTACGTAATATGTATAATATGTACGAGAGGTGTTCCATATAATCGTTGTTTTTTGATTTATTAAAATAGAAAAAAAAATCATACAAATTTATCTTTATATATATATATATATATATATATATATATATATATATATATATATATATATATATATATATATATATATATATATATATATATGATGCTGATCTTCCGAAAGTAGAATCTAGTTTGCATCCATTTTCTACATGTATACCTAAATGTTTAAATTGACATTTGCAAATAAGTTTGCTTAATACTGTTTCCTATGTTTTACGACTTTCTTTTTTTTTTTTTTTTTTTTTTAGACAGTGCATTTGTTTAAATGAAACATCTCTCTCTCTCGGGGGGGGGGGGGTGAAAAGATATACGGTGCGTTTTTTTTTAATGTAGACCTGCGCACATAATCAAAAATGATTTATTTAAAAAAAACTGAAGACAAATTTTGGGAAGGGAGATCCGTACATTCTGAAAGATAAACTACATGTTATGCTGTACACTACAACAGAGATATAACGTTATACATGAGTCTCATACAACTTAACACTATATGTAGAACTGGTATGATAATTATGGCGATAGCTCTTTGATCTCAGTTGTGTCATGTATAATCATGTTCAATTCTATATTTTGGGAATTAGAAAAAAGATATCTGTCACGGGGAAAAAACTTGTTTTCTTTTTCTTCCTATTTTCTAATTTTAAATTATTTAACTAAAAGTTCAAAAGAGACTATCAAAGTTATTCAATTATTTCCATTTTTAGATTGAACAATTGTTTTGGATTCTGATATTACAGGAAGGTATATCTCTATAAAAAATAATCCATTGAAAAACGCGTGATATGATGAAATATCCCCGTAAATAAAATTATTATTAAACATATACCATAATTGGTTCATTTTGACAAACGGGATACTAGTAGTTGTCCGGAGGAACTGTGTGCATGGACAAACGCTGAACATTGTCGATATTGCCCCCCCCCCCCATGAAGAAAGTTTTGTTAAAACTATTAACAACAATGTCGATTTTTTTTTTCAGAAAAAGGAAATCCTGGATCCGCCCCTTTACTGGACAATGTATATACTTTAAAATTAAAATTAACATAAACAGATAAATAGACAATATTTACTCATTTTCAATTAAACACTCTGAGACCACTTTGCTTATTTACACATTTCACAATTATTAAAGAGGAGAGTCATGTACAATCAAATAAATGAATGCACAAAAAACAAAAACTAAATTTTAAAACTATATTTTATGCTCTGAAAATTATTCAATCGAAGAATCAACTGTATAATTTTTTATGTGTATATCTTGTTGTAAATTTTGAATTTATACTAGGTGGATGTAAATGCAAGATTTTACAACATGAGTTATTATGTCAAGTTGTAAATTTTGCATGACATGCATGTGGACAAATTTACAAGCACACATAAAAAAGTAAAAATTATAATAAATAAATTAAAAAAAAAACTCATTTCAAAAAAGCAACACATTATTTTAGCCTACTTGTTTTTCAGACGCTAGCATATGCATCGCTTTTGAAACGGGATTGGAGAGGGGGGGGGGTAAAAAAAAGTTGGCAAGCGAAGTTAAAAGCTAAACTGAAAAAAAACCCTTTCACTGGCAGAAATTGGAAATAAATGTTGAAATCGGGAGAAGGGGTGAATCCTTCTCTAATATTCGGCAGCAAGCTGGGAACAATGATAACGTTGGAGGGTACGTTATACAGGCCCTAGCATAATATCAAATTGGAGGGGGGCTTTGAATGAAAATTTACACCGCAAAAGATTCTTTTCAAACAAATGGGTATGAGAAGAATATTTACATCTTTAACGCGTGTACGCTGATACATTTATTAATCTTTATATCTGACACCCTGTGGTCTTTCCTTCACACGTAATCATCTCAGACGCGTCGGACGATTAACGCATTTCAAAGTGCGCCGTATGAAAAAATAATCTCATCTTTCGTTCATGTCTCTTAAAGTTTACTGCATTTTAAAGCAAAATTATTTTTGTTTTTCAAGAAAAATTGTTTTAGTTTTTTTCAGCGATTTTTTCTATACATTTAAATGAAAAAGTATGTTGAGTATATGCATACAAATCATGAGACGCGGAAGGATTTATTCAAACGAGGTCAAAGGGGGCAGGGTTGTCTAAAGTTTGATTAAACAGCGCGGGCTATTGGACGCTATATGTAATATACTCTGGATTATATCATATCATTTCATATTTCAAAAAGGTAAGAAAAATATTCGAGAAGAAATTGTGTTTTATACGTACGATTGACAATATATTATTCTTTGGAAATTGGGATAATCATGTATCGATTTTTGAACCCTTGTTCGACGTAGCATCATATTGGCGTTGTTGTTTCGTTTTAAACCAGGAACGCAGAATGTTTAAATTTTTGAGGAAGCATCCTCCAAAAGATAGTGAAGAGAGAAGTCAATTGAAGAAGGAGTTATTCGGTTACCGGCGGGTGAGTTTATTTATCAATGTAGGCAGCCATGTTGCATTTTACATTGAATGGCTGAGAGATGAGTCATAATCACTCGACCGTAGAAATAGTGTGCAGCATCCCTTTATTAAGTACATATGTGCATTAAGTTTTTAGCGTTAATTGTTCTTAATGATACAATTAAATTAAATAGTTCCTGAATGTACAATGGATTGTCTGCATTGTATCATGTTAAATGAGAATATCGCACCTGTTGCACGATAAATTTTATATCACGAAAATAGATCGTCAGGAAAAATAGTTTGATTTCTGAAGAACACGTTTAAATATTGGCAAGTAGATCTATCTCTTAGATGTTTTATTTCATTAATTTTTCATTTTAATTCTCTATCAAAAATCCTTGTTAGTGGTCTAAAGATTATGCATATATACACTGTATTTTATGTGGGAAATCTTGGAATGTTGATTCATTTTATTTTGATCCAACTTTTGTTGAAATTATTGTCTCATTAAAAATGCATTCTTCTACAGCCCCCATATAAGCATACTTTAAACACAACAAGATTTATATAAACACTCCTTCTCAAATGGGAGTGTCATCTGTTCTCTTTGACATTATTAATAATTCATCCATGAAAAAAGGACACTTGTTTATAAATACCCTTTCTACATTTGAATAGACATATGAAAAATATGTATCAATTGATAAAGCACTGAAAATATTTTGAATTCTATAACAATTTGTAATGCTTGAAGGAAATTTTCATATTAGATTCACTCTCAGATATTTCTTACATTAACTTTATGAAGAAGTTCTGCTTAGATTGTATGAAAATATATAGTAAATTAAAGATGGTTCTACAACATGTCCTAATAAATGTGACTTATATTTATTCATCATTTCTACGATGAAGCAGAAAGGGAAACAAACAAAAAATACACTTTGGCAGAAGGACACAAATTGAATTTGAACTTGTCTTCATTATTTAATAGCCTCTGATATTAAAATTTCACCGGTCTTATTATTTTTGACATTGTATATTTCTGAAAACTTTCACAGATATTAATATCTAATTGTAACAGAGACATTTATGTGCCTCTGCTGGGGATTGAACAAGGGGCCTCTGGCTTGCCAGTCCAGTGAGCTAAAGGGTTAACCCACTAGCCCAAGTTAGTAGGATGTCGTGTATCTTACACTACCACATTGTCCTCCTCCAGAGAATGAGATGTCCTCATCTCTTTTGGAGTGCCGACGCCTGTGGAGCGAAGTTCTGGGTGCAATCACTCTCACCCATTAGAGAATACTTGGGTCCCAACGTGGGCACCAAATGTAACAGAGACATGTATGTGCCTCTGCTGGGGATTGAACCCGGGGCCTCAGGCTTGCCAGTCCAGTGCTCTACCAATTGAGCAAAAGGGTTAACCCACTAGCCCAAGCTAGTAGGATGCTGTGTATCTTGCACTACCACATAATCACAGTCACACTTAATGTTGAAATTCCAGAAGCAATGAAAACAGGTGTTACATTAAGCATTTGACTTGATCCTGCATACATGTAGGTTTTAGATTATGTTATATATAGATTTTCTCCATGTAATATACATCATAACTGGAGAAATGGCCTGCAAATATGTTGGTACAAGTTTTGTATTGTGATGTAGCTTGGGCATTTACCAGAGCTAATCAGTGTTGGAGTATGCTGTGCAGTTAAAATTTAAATAAATCTACTGTAGAGTAATAGAGTAAATTAATGTAAGAGTACTTTAGAGTGTATGAAAGACCCATGGTTGAATGTTTTAATCTTTTGTATTTTGTTTCAGTGTCTTGATCATGGATTTCCAAGTAAACCATCATGTATGGCTTATGATCCAAAGTTGAAACTGCTGGCCATTGGAACTAAGACAGGAAGAATCAAAATGTATCCTTGCTGTATTATTTAAAAATGTTTCTGACAGGATTTAGTCTGTCTGAATTGAAAGCATGTACATAAAAAAGATATAGTTATTTCAACATTTTTTTAAAGATATTGAATTGTTTTAATGTTAAACAGAATACCTTAGAAAGTATGTTTAAAATATAAAATTATAAACAGATATCAATGGGTTTTGATGGATATATGATGTTAAAAATATCCATTGCATGAAATATATGAAATGGAAGGGGTGTATTTCAAGGGATTATGTGTAAGATTAGGTGTAAGGGACTGGTAGTGATGTATTTTATATTTACATCATAAGCTGTTGTGTACAGTTCGTTCATAAATCACTGAACAATTTCTGTGGACACAACAGATGTTGTTTCAGAGTATTTGATTACTGTGTATGCAGTAACATGGGATATTTTTTCACAATGGGAGATTACTCTTTCAGTCACACCTCTAAGTAAGTTATCTCCCCTGAATACTCCAGTCAGAGGTAATCCTCTCAATTACTGATCCTTATTGAATCTGATCTAATTATTGGACTGGTTAGATTTAAATCTCTTAGCTCTGGTACCTCTCATAAGTCATTGATCTCGATCTTTTTGTCCTCCATTTTATTGACAGATTTCGGTCTGTTTGTGAAAAAGAAATGGCTGTTTGTTTTCTGTTGTCAAAGTTAGATAATAAATATCAGAACTGAGGCATAAAAGTAGGTCATGCATTAAGACTTGAGTAGCTAAGGAATCTTTGAAAATAGTAAAGAGTGTTCTCAAGTTATGAATTTAAAGATGCAACATATTTAAACAAGAATTTGAAGTATTTCACACATGAAGCTGAACCATTTTACAATGGTAGGAGTACCTTAAGTTCAGGGCATGTTTTTTGAAAATGAATTGTAAAGTAGTTATTATCATTGCTGCTTGATACATGTAAGACACCCAATACTTTGAAATGAATATTGTTTGTTTTTAAATATGGAATATACTGATCATTTATTATGGGTGTTTTAAAAGTCCACTCTAGCTGATTGTGTGCATACTGTCAATGTAAAATACATGACTTAAAAGTGCTCCTTATCAAATATAATATAAAATACAAGTTGAGTGATAGGTGTTAAAATGGCCATATTATACAGATGGACTGGTCTAGAAGGTGAAAAGTTAGTAAATATTAACTATATTGACCTAAACTTGACTCATCCCCCCTCCTCAGTGTGGGCAGAAGTTGTTGGGGGTTAGTCATAGGTAGACTAAGACAGGAAAGTACAGGTGAATCAGAAATCAATTCCAATCAGAGACAGTCATATACCTAGAGCGGTTCTGTGTATTGATTCCAAGACAGGTGATTAATCTGCTGCCACTTCTGATAACTTGAGGTTGCAAAGCACGCTAAATTAAAATTTCAGAATATTCTCAAGGGGGTTCCGTTTTGTTTTTCACAGTTCAAGATTGAATACAAAAGATGACAGAATCGGGTATATTAAGGATACACCTGTATATTTTAGAGGGTTTTTTTTAATAGTATGGGAATTTGTTGTATATGTTTTATAGTAACAAAGTGATATAAAGGTCATTTCCTTAGCCCCGCCCCAGAGTTGGAGCCCCTGGTGTAGAGTGGTCAGTGGAACTGAGACCAGATGTATCGGTCAATCAGCTGTTCTTCTTACCAGAGCAGGTTCGCTGTTCATTTTAATAAATAATTTCATTTTTATAAATAATTTTTAAAAATGTGCAATTCCAGACAACTATATAGTCAAAAAAGTACAATACCTGATATATTTCTTTGAAAATAAATATGTTTGTTTTATAATCCACCAGCACTTGCATAAGATTTTTTTTTATTTTAGGGCCGTTTGTTGTCTTTATGCAGTGACAACACTGTGTACCTCTGGGAGATTAACCATACTGGAGGGAAGTCATTATTGGAACAGAAGAAAGAATACACCTTCAGTGTGGATGAAAGGTAATTGTCTACAATTAAGCCACTTACTGCAAAGGTGTAGAGAAGTATTTGTATTAAAATTTATTATGTTCAGAAAAGAATGCTTGGAAAAGCCTCTGCTCCACTTACAAGGATATGTAACAAAAATTCTTAACCTGAATTTTCTTCTTTTTTTTTTTGCATTTAGCTGACATTTTCAGTGTTGAAGGGAGTAATTTCATATCAAGAGGAAAAAGGGAATAGTTTCCTAACAATCAGCTTTATTTTCCTTACTTTAATTTATCACAAAGATTTGCATATTAAAAGGCATGAAAATCTCAGGTTCATAAATGATTATATTTTAAGGAAAAGATTCTCTGAAAATCTCACAAAGCAGTTGTGAGTTTTGTGACAGCTGATATTGACTATTGAAGCTCAAAAGCAATTTAATGCATTGAAACATTCTGGGCACGGGGTAAAATTTTTTGGAACAACATTAATGAAGTGTAAATTCATTGGCATTAGGCAACATGTGTTTTTAAAAAGTTACTGATTAGAAAATAGCTAACAAACATCTGCAATGGAGTAAAAGATAAAAATCAACCATTGGTCTTGAATTTTAAGGTTAGAATCCTATTTCATAGTTAGGTTGATTGCAAACAGGTCAATCCCTAGCTCTGATCTGAAATTGTTCTAATATTCATGCAAACTTTCCATGTGAAAAAATTGTAACAGCTGCAAAGTCTAGACTAGGTTGTGATTTTCTCTCATGATTTACATAAATATTTAGCTCTTGTACAAGTTAGATGATCGAGAAAGATGAGTTTACATTTCCAGTGTAATGCACTATAGGAAAATAGATGAGGCAAGCATAGATCATCATCTGTAGGATCAGTGTTTACCATTCTATGTAGTGTTATCATTCACAGGATCCCTGTGGAATGTAGAGTTGTTGACCCAGTTTAACCCACACCCACTTTTATTATTTGAGCTAACTCAGCTGACACTGATGTGCACCCAGCCATAATGATTGTCAAATTATGAAAATACAAACTTTTATCATGTCTGATAAGCCCATTCTTATTTTGATAGGTATCTATACATGATCATTGACAATTCAAATATATGCATACTTATGTAGTCATTCATATTATTTCAAAGGTTTCACTGAAATAAGTTGAATATTTCTGGCAGTATAAATGTGGAATTTTCTGACAAATGAGAACATGAGTGGTAGTGATAACGTTACAATCTGTAGATTATTTTAGCTTGTTAACTGCAGTGGTCTGATCTTTCTCTAGACATGAAGTTGTTTTAAGTAAATATTGCAGGATGTGATGTCATTATCAATAAACAATCTCAAAATTATTAAAAAAAAAAAAAAAAAAAAAAACGAAAAAAAACCCTTTAACAACTTCAACTAAAATCATATCTGTCTGCTTGTCCTTATCTTGACAACCCTGGGTAGCTTGGAAACACCTCTGCATTGTTCACAGTGCACCTGTTTGAAAAAGAGGGGTTTTGCTCATTATATCTAATGGTTTATCTTAGTCATAGAAATAGATATCTGTATTTGGTGCAGCACAAGGTTGGAGCTAAATGAAGTATTGATTATTGAGAGTGAAGGCCTTGTTTGACTTGGCTGTGACCTGCTGAATGGATTGGTCTAGACATTACATCTTTTATTCCACATGCAGATCACTAACAGATTTTGTGCAAGTCATTCAATATTGACTGCTTTGTCTTGTTTGCATTTTCCATTAACATGGTCCATAAAAATTGAAGCCTCAAACGATAAAGCTCTTATAATGATGAAAAATTGTAACTGACCATAAAGATACAATACAGTCATACTGTACAGGGAATGAGAGAGAAAAAGGTTTGGTGTTGGGTTGCTGTGGTTTGAAGGCCAGACTTCCTGTGTGTAATTACTCTCCATTATCCACACAATACTGGGCTTAAATTGCCTTTAATTATGTGCTACTCCAAGGTAATTATTTACAATCACTCAATGGTATTTGGGACATTGTTGTTAACAGTGTCGCAGTACCATCTGGTAGAAAGTTGTAGATATTTCTCTTTCAAAAAAGCATTGTTTTCTGTGACAAGTGCATATATTTTAATCTATGAAGACAATCTTTATGATGAACTTGTGATATTCCTGACTTCCAATTCTTAGCCATTTTTGACATGTTTGAAGCAAAAAGAAATCAACTTCAGATGATAAAATATGATCTTTTTTTTTCTTTTTGAATAGTGTCTGCCTGCTCAGAGCAATCTGACCTACCGAATTCAAGAACATCTTTTTATCTATTTGTATGTGATATTGATCTAAATTATTGACATTGATAAATATTTTAAATAAATATTTGAAATAGGCAATTCAATAGACAGATTTTTATTTTTTAAAAGACACTGTTTGAACATGTTGAACTTCCCTCAGGAAATATGTTTTTAAAAGAAAATTGTGGAGAAATTCAGTTTGTTTTCATTACAGATTTATTAATTAACTGTAGAATAAATAGGTATTTTATTCTCCTGGCAAAGTAAAGCCTCTTTTTTTTTTAAAGATACTTCATATTTGATTTAATATGATTAATGTCCATCATTTTCAAACACATGTACACTAAAGTTCAACAAGGCATAAGTACAGGAAATATGATTTATCCGTCTGCTCTTGCCTCTACAAAAATACATGTTACATAAGTTGTTGAAAGGTCACATATATTTAGGAGTATTTAATATTAGCTATCTCTTGTAGACTTTGTATTAAATTATATACCATTGTTTAAAATAGAAATATTTCAAATGGCTTAGAAATCCCCTGTTTTATAGAGAGGGTCTTTTATCTCATGGAATGGGATTTTCTTGAATCCAGAATTTTGGAAGAGACATTTGGGCTAACACTGTTATTGAACTAATACTACTACAATTAGATCCTTAAAAAAATATTCTTCTCAATAACAGCAAAGCCATGATTAGTCATATTTATTTGAAAGCATCCTCAGGTAGTGTAGATTCAAATTTGTACAAATCATGACCCCCAGGGTTAGGGTTGGGCCATGAAAGGAGATCACAGTTTCACATAGGAATATATATATATATATATATATATATATATATATATATATGGGGGGGATCTCCTGATGAAGAACAGCAGGGTCATAGTCACTCTGGTGAGCATTGTGGCCTATGGGCCTCTTGTTATAGATATATGATAGTCAGTGTAAGTTGTTATTTTACTTTTTTTACAGTCGCATGATAGCCATTGTAAGTTATGGTTCCTTTTTTACAGTCGTATGAAGGGAATCTCTGTCTGCTGCTTGACAAACAACTGTGAGCAGCTTCTGATTGGCACCGAGATAGGAAACATCTACATTTTAGACCTCAACACCTTCAAACTCCTTGATCAGATCATCTACCAGGATGTGGTCATGCAAAAGTAGGTATCCTCTGTACCTTTATTTATTTGCACAGTCATTATGGTCCTTAAGTTTTGCATTCATATTGATGGAATTGAAAAAAAGTTTTCTTTAACATAATGATTAGCAAAGGTTTGCAGATTTTACGAAAATTAAATGAGGAATTCCTTCACTTCTAGTGTACCTGATGACTTCAAAGTAAATCCTGGTGCAATTGAAGCTTTGGCTGTACATCCAACTGAGAAAGAAAAGGTAATGCAGGAAATTTTATAGCATTTGGTCTCTTGACCTTGAAATGTTTAAAGCAGAAGAAAAATGGTAATAAGAAATTTGATTTTCCAGAACTGAAACTGAAGAAAGCTTTTTATATTTCAGTTTTTGATTGGCTACAACAGAGGATTAATTGTGTTGTGGGACAATGAGGCAAGCAATGCAGATCAAACATACAATTCTACACAGGTATGTATTTAATTGTAGGGTTGGAAAATTTATATTGTTCATCACAGAAAATAAATACCTCATTTGTGAGTACAATCCCATATATAAAGTGTTGATGAAGAATTTTTGCCAGAAGGATATTTTAAGTAATTAACCACATCAGAAGAGGTTTTAAGAGAAATAAAAACTTGAGTTTTGAGTCAGGTGGTGTAATTGATGCATTCATTTCTTGCAGCAATTGGAGTCCTTATCTTGGCACAGAAATGGGAAGGAGTTTATGAGTGCCCACAATGATGGCAGCTACATTGTTTGGAGCACCTCTGACTCCACCACTCCCAAAGAGTCAGCAATTACACCTTATGGTAATGTAGATGATTTTTTTTTCCCAATTTGCTATAGTATTCAAGAGATAGGAGAAAAATGACCTTGATTTTAGAGGTAATTTTATGTCGTAAATTTTTTTTTTGACTTTCTTCAGGTCCATTCCCATGCAAAGCTATCAGCAAAATTGACTGGAAAACAGCAAAGTTGTAAGCTGACTAATACTTCACTTGCAAATTGAATTTGTAGCATACATTTCATAAATAATAATTATTGGAGATAATTACAACTTGCATCCTATGAGAAATACAGAGAGTAGGAAATAATGTCAGAAAGAATGACAAATTTGTATATTTGTATGCAGGGATCCTTTCATTATCTTTGCCGGGGGAATGCCAAGGGCGAGTTATGGTGACAGACACACAGTCAGTGTTATGCAGGGCTCCAATAACATTCATACCGTTCTAGACTTCACCTCTAAAGTGGTGGACTTCATTACCATCTCAAAAGCAGACGAATCAGAGGACTCCATGGGTATGTGATGGTTTAAGGTTGTTTGCAAATAACATTTTGAATTACTTTGGTTTGGAAACATTTTGTAGTGCTAGGTTATTTAAACAATTGTACTATGATCTTAACAGATAACCAAAAATTTCCAATTTTCATTTCAAGAAAAATTTGCATGAAGTCTAAAAGTATTCATAAGTTACACCAGAAGTTCTATATTTAGTGTGCAGTATGCTAGTGTATTAGCAGTTCACATCAGAAAATTTCCGGAAAAGTCACTAATTGCTTCATATTTCATCTCCAGAGACAGATGAGCCCCATACCCTGGTGGTTCTGGCAGAAGAAGAGTTGGTCCTAATAGACCTGGAAACCCAAGGCTGGCCAACCTTCTCCCTCCCCTATCTTAACAGCCTCCACTGCTCTCCCATCACTTGTTCTCAGCACGTCAGTAATATCCCGGACAATCTGTGGCAGAAGATTATTGATGCAGGGCAGGCACAGAGCAAAAATGTTTCATCACGGGTAAAGAAATATGCAGTACACATATAAGTACATGTACATAAACTTTAATTTACCAGTATGTTTACCAGTATGTATGCTGCAATTTCTTAGAAAAGAACTAATGTAATATTCCACTATTCAAACAAAAGCCACAAACATTAATATCCTGTGCAGGATTTTACCAGATCTAAGTCAAGTATGATAAGTGTTTTCATTCCTCATTCCTAATTAAAAGTATAATTTGTGGATTTCATTTGTGTGGTTGAGGGAGAGTGAATATTTTGGTTTTTTTTTCACAAGGAATGGCCCCTTAATGGTGGAAATATTGTAGGAGCTGAATCATTGACTAAAGACATATTACTTACTGGGTATGTTTGAGATATTCTTTGTGTTTTCTATATATATTTTTTGTATCTTTCTAAAATGGTTGAGCTTGGTGGCTGTGATTTTTTATTTTTATCTCCGAATCTCTTCTTTCTAGGCATGAGGATGGCACTGTTCGTTTCTGGGATGCCTCCAGCACATCTATGTCACTTCTTTATAAACTATCTACTGCTAGTCTCTTTAATGTCGACATACATGGCGAACACAACTGTGGTGAAGTAGAAGAAGAATGGCCACCATTCAGAAAGGTAATATTGCCATGGCAATCAAAATGAAGGAACACTGCATGGAAGTTCGAACAAGATCTTCACTTTCATTTATGAAAAATTTCTTGTGCACCACCATTTTACATATCTATTTACTTTTATTTACTGCCTTGCTTTCTCCAGTTTAATGTTTACTTTAGATAATACTATATAGATTGCTTATTCTAGCAGGATTTGTACATTTTTGTGGCATTGACATGATCCACTAAAATAAGTACACATTCAGTAATTGGAAAAAAAGGACTTCATAATTTTTCTGTGTATGTATCAGACAACATGAGTGTTTGGTATATTCTATAAATGCAGGTGTATATGTATTTCAAAGTTAAGTTTTGGCTTGACATTTTAGGTTGGAAGCTATGACCCTTTCAGTGATGATCCCCGCCTTGGCATTCAGAAAATAGCATTATGTCCCCTTAGTGAGACTCTGGTGGTGGCTGGCACCGCTGGTCAGGTTGTGGTGCTGCGGGCTGAACGTGAGGAGAGGGAGTTGGAGGTTAGCTCCACCACTGTCAATGTGGTCAGTGACCATGATGGATTTGTATGGAAAGGACATGAAGCACTGGGGAAAAAAGAGGGTGAAGTGACCTTCCCAACAGGGTTCCAGCCTGTAGCAGTTATGCAGATCAGTCCCCCAGCTGCCTGCACAGCCCTGGCTTTCCACTCTGAATGGCAGTTGTAAGTGACTGAAATTATTATGCCTTTGTTTTTCTGATACTTTGTCTATAGTTGGCTTACTATGGAATGTATGTCCTTATCTAATCATTAGAAAAAACATATAATTGACAGGGTAGCAGCAGGAACTGCCCATGGATTTGGTCTGTTTGATTATGCTCAGAAGAAAGAGGTGACGTCTAGATGTACCCTTAATCCAGAGGGTGAGTAAATAGGAAACAGTGTACAACAAAAAATTCTGTATATAATCTTCTACAGACTAGTCAGTGAAAGCTCTCGTCTGTTGTAGACTTAACAGGAACATCAGACACTCCAATTTCTAGAAGAAAAAGTTTCAAGAAGTCATTGCGGGAGTCATTTAGACGTTTGAGAAGACGACGATCTGAGAGAAGAAAAGCAGCTGAGGAAAAAGCTAAAGAAGAAAAGAAAGAAAGGTCTTTTGATTTTTTTTTTTTTACAGTTATACAGATTTCAAAGTAAAAATCATGCACATGCTTAGATTAAAATATTCTCAATCATTTTTAGCTTCTTGGAATATACCGAGATAATATCTTTTATTTCAGTGAAGAGAAAACAGAAGGCATTGAGGTAAAATCCTCTCCAACAAAGACGCCTCCTGCCTCCCCTGAGTCTCGGCCTGTAGAACGGCAAGTTGAGGCCCGCAATCCTGAGGATTCCATTGGCTCAATGGTTAGATGTCTATACTTTGCCAGTACCTACATTTCAGATGGTAAGTGGCAATACAGTAGCTTACATCTTTTTCATGTAATAAGATTGTTGGGCTTTACAGGGTAGGTAATTTGTGAGCTTGAAACTCTTTATTTACAGTTTCAAATACCACTTCCTCCTTGTGGGTGGGCACCAATGGTGGTCATGTTTACATCTATACTATAACTGTTCCCCAAGAAAAACGGTCAGAAAGTGAAGTATCAGCAACTATAGCTAAGGAAATTAAACTACGCCATAAAGCCCCAGTGATGTCCATTGCTGTGGTTGATGGCAGAACGCGAGTTTTACCCGATCCATTAGAAGTTCAACATGCAAGAGCTAAAGAGCCTCAAGGCAGCAACCATTCTGTTGTCATTTGTTCAGAAGAGCAGCTCAAGGTACATAACTCTTACAGCAGTTATATTGATTCTCTGTCATTTTCAATATGTAACCAAAAAATGTTATACATATATTTTTAGGTAATTTAAACAAAAAAAGATTTTATTGCTGCATTAATTAAACAATTGTATTTTTTTTAGATCTTTACATTGCCACACCTGAAGGCTAAATGGAAGTACAAGATTACAGCCCTCAATGGATCTAGGATTAGAAAAGTAGCTTTTGTCAATTTTAGGAGTAGAAGTGGTAAGTTAGTAAACTGATAGAGACACTAGTTAATTTTGTTGATATTTTCGGTTAATTCTATAGCAGATGGAAATTGGTAAATAAATTACTTTTCAATTTGCAGATGAAAATTACAGTGAATATGACATTGCCTGTTTAAACAACCAAGGTGAACTTAGTGTTTACTCTGTATCCACACTTAGACAACAGCTAGAGGCTTCGTGTTTAAGGAGAGAGGATATCAAGTGAGTTCTGTAGTCTCCTGGGAGGAAAAAACCAACAACAACATGTCTATGTAAAGGAGAAAGGCCTCAAACTGTCCATTCTGTGAGAGAAAGAACTAATCGAGGGCCGTAGGCCCTCGATTAGTTCTTTCTCTCACAGAATGGACAGTTTGAGGCCTTTCTCCTACTTAGAACACGATTTCCTTTGTTCTGAAAATGAAATAAAACAAATTACAAAACTGGTAGCAGATATGACAGGTAGCACACATACAATGACAAATTCATTGTTTACAGAATGGACAGTCATAGGTAAGCTAGGGATGCAGAGCAATTTGTTGAATAGCCATTGTGTTTCGGGCAGATGCAAATAACAAAAGGTCTTTGTCTTAAGAATGGACAGATACAGGTGGATTTTGGGGGATACTAGTATTTATACAAGTATGCCATGCTTCAAAATCAGTTTATAGCTTGCGTTGTAAAGGCATACATGTCTTCCTCTGATGGAGAGAGTATATGACAGAATCAAAGTCTAATAAACCAAAATATGCATAAAATTGGTGATATTTGGATCTGGAAACATGCAGAAGAGTAAAAGTAAAAGAAATATTAGCCAAACTTTGACCCAAAAGTGAACTTCTCCAACAGATACAGATAATCAAATTTGAATCAAACCTGGAAATGTTTTATTTGAATTATATTTTTGAGGATATATTAACTGCAGCAGTGTACTGGTGATATGCATATTGTGTTCTGAATGTTGGGTAGCCATGATCCAATCTTCGACCTGAAAATGTTTTACAAATCAAATCTGGAGATGTTTCATTTTTAATTATTTTCTACGGAAATATTAACTGCAGCAGTGAAGTGTTCATGGAGCAAACTGTTTTCTGGGTGGAGGATTTAATATTAGACGTACTTCTATCTTAAAATGAATTCTCCTCGAGGGAATAATTTTTCCGAAAAGTCAAATGTGAAATTGTGTCAATTGAAATCAAGTTTTGTGAAAATTGAGTTTTGAGTATTGAAATAATGTACATTATTCATGAAATCAAGTGGATCCTGTGCAGACATTGTGTTCTGGATTAGCTTAGATCTCCATGTTCTTTCTGTTATTTACATGTAAATTAAAGAGTATTTAATGTATTTGTTTTGTTTCCCTCTTGAACACATTCCAAAGTTTACCTGTAACTCTCCATTCTGTTTGTTTTAAGTGTCCATTCTTTTTGAAAAAACTGTCCATTCTTAAAAAGAATGGACAGTTTTCCAAAAAGAATGGACACTTACAGGTAACTTAATGGATTCTTTGAGGAGTTAGCTCAACATTAAGCTATAGAATGGACAACACAAACAAAAGGTTTACGTCACAATCATGTTTTAATTAGCTGCTGTTAGAAAAAAAATTGTAACATTTGCATATCTGAAGAAATTTTGCTTTTCCATTGTTTAAAGCATAAGCAGATAATTTTGCAGTTGGAATAAATGAATACACACTTCAATGGTTTTATTGATAAGTAAGAATAAGGTACCATGGAAGAAGAAGCAGAGGATACCGACTTTTATACCATACTGATGAAATTCAGATATTACAGTTTTCTTGAATACCATTATTGGTATCAGCAACAATATAGACAGTATTCATGTATGATTATTCCTCTGTATGAATGGTCATTAAATTGGGGATGTTGGATACTTGCAAACATGTATGTTTTAGTGGACAATTTTGCTGTACTAAATTTGATAGATAATGCTTATACTAGATGATTTATTAAAATTCAACTTGTTTTACCATTTTACCATCTGCTTATATTCAATATTAAGTACAGGAATCCAATTCTATTGATAAGATGGAAGAAATATTTTGAAATACATGTACATGTATTCATGTATTTATTTTCCAGTGGAATTTCATCATTCACATTTACCAAGAATGGACAAGGGTTTTACCTACAATCAGCTTCAGAGTACGCAAGAGTAACATTGTCAGCGCGATACATCACAGAACCCACCTGTAGCTTGGAATTAAAAGAAGGGATGCGTATTCCTGCACCAGAACCAGAAGTTCCTGCACAAGAAGCAGCTCAAACTGAAGATACAGCAGAGTATGTTGTTTATTGACAACCTATACCCAGTTAACATCACTAATTCATTCATTATTCCTAAAAATTTAATAGCAGCTTCTAATCTGACGATATGAAATATGTAATTGACTAATATTTGTCACTTCAGTAATCAGTAGCAGTCTATTGTTTAAAAAAAATGATATGAGGAATATGTATTTGAAAAAATCAGTAAATGGAAAAAAGATTAATGCAAGTGAAAAAAAAAAGAATAAACTAGAGAGAAGGTTGTGAGTCTTGAGTGTGTTACCATTACTTGGTGTTGGCATCACATGTGTTTGTGATTACAGAGAAGAGGCAGTCCCGTATGGCAGTGGTGACATCGCAGAAGGTCTGAATGATTCTGCTCTCAATGACTCCCAAGCCAACACCACCATGGAAGGGGAGATCACTCAAGATAGTGTACAAATGTTAGTTTGTTACTGCTGGCCAATGCTTTTGATAACATTAAGCACATAAAATTATTGCATGTTTTGCACTTTTACAAGTTGATGCATATAACAAGCATTTTTGTTTTTGTCTTTTTGTTTAAATGGAAAATATGGGGGAAATGGGATCATATATGAAAGGACCAAAATCGTAGATTGATTTGAATCATATAAATTGTCGCATTTGATTGTAGAATGCAGGTTACAGAAGAGATTTCCTCTTCAAACGAGACAACCAGGACAACCACTGTACAAGAAACAAGGACAATCATTTCTGGTGATGGTACAGAGAATTCCACCATAACCTCAACCGTCACAGAATCCTCACAGCTAGTAACCTCCAGCGGAGATGCACCAGCCACAGGTAGGCTTGACAGGAAATGAAAATAAATTACATCTCACTTCATCTTTAGCTTCATTAATTTTTTGACATCTTCTTACCTTTGCATATTCCGCCGCATCTCAATGACATATCATTTCTGCTTTGATGAAGGGTGTTTATGTATGTAAATTCATTGGGGATGAAAGCGGTCAGTTTGCAAATGGCATTTTGCTCAATTCTGAGGGATGGTAATATATTGTGATTTACATTTTCTAGGAAATATTGAGGAATCCAAGACCCCACCCCCAGTGACACAGGTGAGATTAAAGTGATTCTGAGCACTCTCTTATGACAACCCAGTTTTAAAAGGGTGTGTGTGGTATGTAAAACTAGATAGAAGTGTTCCTTAGTCAATCTCCCAAATAACATGGTAAAAGGCTAACCATTTCCCCCACTTTATAGCTAAACATTTTCTTTTTTTTTTAATTATTATTTTCTTGATGTCATTTTTTGTGATTAGAAGCCTTTCTGCGCAGAGAAAGGTGTCATAAGAGAGCTGACGCAGACTCAGTTTTCTCTCGCACTCTCTCTTACTGTGCATGATACCTCGCAGCTCTTTGCCGCTTTTGATGCAGTATCTTATTTTAATATACTCAAGAGTTTGTTTAGAATTTGTAAACAAAACGTACAGATGGGAAAAATGATATTGAATCGAGCATGATATGGATTTCATTAAAAGAAAAATATTGAGAGAAAAAAAAGACATGGCTGTTTTAAAAGAAGACAATATTAACAAGTAATGATAGAGGTAATTTTAGAGGTGTGCAACATTGACGAGTGTCATCTTTTTATATTGATTCTAGGTAATTGAAAAGACAGAAGAGGAGCTGACTAAATTAAAGATTTCCAATGAAGATGAAGCGATGAACAAGCGGCCTGCATTGGACACTACAGCAGAAATCCAGGGTACAGTGACAGCCAGTTAGACAGGATCAATCCGGGGGCTGCTCCTGTGTAGAACTGGTTGTTTATGTAATACTGTAGTATATAGCTATGATGATGTTTTTTTTAGGGTTGTGCAATGTTGGTTGGCAATCAATTTGTTACTGATAACAGAGCTAAGGGGACTAACCCAGTCTTTGTGTTTCGCATAATTATTGTTAGAAGTAGATTGCGTTTAATATGACGTATCGTTATGCCTGGTATTTTGTATCGTATTCCTATTCCTTACAAATGTGTTACTGAATATAGAGGTTACTCATACAGAATTTATTCTTTTGTAATAAAATTAAATAATTACGTGTATTTTAATGTATAATTTTGATATATTGGTTTCTATATAGTGTATTTAACATTCATAAAAATCGATTGTTAAAAGTAAAGGTACTTTTTTCTTTGGAAATGAAGAAAATTCTATTAAGAAGGCTTGATTTTAATGAAAAAAATTGAAGATGAAATTGTAAGGATGTTTTAAATAGCACTTGATCTCACAAGGTGGACCAGGACAGTAGAATTGTAAATAATTAGTTTAAAAAATGAAATGCTTGTAGAAATTTTATGTTTTTTTTGAACCAATAGCTTTAACAATTTAAAATTATTTTTAATTTAATTTTTATATACTTGGTTGTGGCCTAGGTGATGTGTGTTTGTGTGTCGGGATTTAGGTGGATTAACTGTACCTGTCCAATGTCAGCTGAATTGTCTGTCATTGTATTCCATTGGAGTCTGCTGTTTGTGTTTTTTACTCTTAGCTGTGTAGTATTCAATTATTATTAGGAACATCATCATATCATTTTTTTTTCAATGCATGTCACATATGGAATTCCAGTTTTAATGTCATCGGAAGTTTGCTTGAAGTAGGTTGTGCAATTTCAGACATCTGTCATTAAAAAAAGCTTCAGTGATATGGACTTGCCTTAATTTTTTCTATGTGCCTAAGTTGCAATAAATTCATGTCATATATTATTTTGTTGTTATTTTTTGATGATGAATATGTGCCGAACAAATATAGAAAAAAAAAAGATTTTATTTAGATAATATAGGGATAGAAATTTTCATGATGTTTTGAATGGCCCTTTTCCATAGGAGGGTTGCAATAATTTTGCCGATATATATAACATACCAAAGAAAATATAGTCCTGTGCTCAGTAACATCAGGGGTGCGTTCAACAGCGTAGCCGCTACGCTCTTAAACGGAGAGCTAACTTAGCTGCTACGTAGGGAGAGCTAGCATAAATATTTAATGCCAAGTACCAAATCCAAGATGGCCTCCTTAGCACACTAGATTTTAATAAAACGGGGAATTATTTTCTAAATATTAACGAATTAAAGGTATTTATACATATATATTTTCGTTTGAAATAATTTTTTTGGTTCCAAAAATAAGGTTTTACTGATATATTTTTATCCCAAATCTTAGACTTAGCGGCTAGGCTAGCTGTCGGTTCAATAGAGACCTAGCTGCTAGGTTAGCCGCTACGATCTTGAACGCAGCCCTGATGACTTTTTTTTTTTTTTTGGTCAAGGAATTTTTGTTTGGTAGACCCCCCTCCCTCTCAAATATGTTTGGTTGTATGTGCCCCCCCCCCCCCCCAAATTGCTTCCTACAGGTCTGTGGGAAGCATGGAACGATGATTATTTCTTTTGTCATGAAATGTTTGCATATGTAAACCACCTTAGCAATACAAAAAGAAAGTTAACCTATATGCCATTAGCAGATGGACAAAAATGAAAGAGCTCATCTGTCCTTGATACAAGCACTTCAATTGTTCATAATAAATTGTTTGAGAAAGGTACGTATTAATCGTACAGTGCCTATTTTGAGGGGGTAAGGTTGAAGGTTTTTGAGGAAATAAACTAGGCAACACCTGCATTTCTAGAATTAATTCAAATGTGATTATAATGGTAACAAATCGCTGTTGGTGCCACAAGGTCACCATAGTCACTGGACTACGATGGCCGACAGCAGCCGCCATTTTTGATTAAGAATATTTTCGTTGTACAGCGTTTTTTTTTTTAATTTTCGTGGACAAATTACAATAAGTAATGCTATTTCACCAGATAATATCGTTTAAATTTTTTTCCCGTGATAAGAAATATAAGTAAGTAAAACGGATTACTCGAAAGAAATGAAGTTTAATTAGAACTGCAAGGTCGAGGTAATTATGGACTAGAGCAGTCTGCTAGATATGCTCTCTCTACACTATAACGTTAACATTATTATCACTTCATAAGAAAAGATTTCGTGACGGATTTAATCAATTTTGGAACAGAGACGTATTATGTCCCTAATTGGAGCCTGCAAAACACATACACTCAAACATTAAAAAAAAAACAACTTCAAAACAAAGTAAATGTTTCGTTTATCCAGAGAGGGATATGCCACATTGGTCCATTCACTAACTGGAATCATACATCATCTCGTGGTACTCTTTATCTTCTATCATTTCAGCATAACGTGCCAACAGACGATCGTCCACTACACCGGAAGTCACTCGGTTTCTTCTGCAGGGAAAATGTACACTAGTCTGTTTCTTATTTGATACATTACTTATGGTAGCATTGCCCGGGGAACTTGCTGACGGTATATTTATGGAGACAAGCTGCTCTTCGTGGGTTCTTTTCCATTCCATACATGTTTTAGATCGTTTGGGTCTCTGTGAAGCTTGATGAATGGTCGATCGTCGCTTAGACGGCTTCCCCCTACCAGAAAGCTCAGCTACGGCCTTTGTTCTTCGATTTATAAACCATGTCTGTAATTGAAAATTCAGAATGAATTACAAACAACTCTTTTCAAGATTTTTTTTATCAAAGTATCTTACGCCGAACATGACCGCTGTTCAATCTTTTCAATGGTGACAATACATATCAAATTATAACTATCTTCATACCGCCCTTTCATTACTTTGTATCCCCATTCCCTCCTATACTATAAAGGATCATGTAACATTTAATGTCTCTCCACAAAATTAGCACTGACTTGACACTTACTACTACCTAAAGTTGCCAAATCATCCAAGCATTAGTCTTTCTTGAAGTCTAGGACACCATTATACACCCTTTATCAGTTTATTACCCCAAAACAATAAGAAAGTTACTGAGTTTTCATCACAACTACAAGGGCTGTCCGTAAAATTCTTGGACACGCACTATTTTTTTTTTTCATTTTCAATAAATTATAGACTACTAGTATACAGGTGTCCGAGTACAAAATCATGTATTCTTTGTATTTATTTTAAAAAAAAAAGATGATTTTGTTAAATAATAATATGCACAGTTTAAATGGATATAATTTAATTTTGGTTGTAACGCGTCATTTGATTGGATAAAAAAATTAGAATATAGCGTATAACCTGGATTGCGTACGTCACAATGACTTACGTCAAAAACGTATCAATCCGCTTGACGTTACATTTAAAATACGTACAATTTGAAGGCATTTTTGAAGGAGAAATTGTCTTATTTTTTACACGTAATGATGGAAAATTAAATTATAAGGAATGAATTTAATAGCTACCCAAGTTATACTGGTATAACTTGGGTTGGAACAGTTTACGCTTTTTTATAAACCGCTTCGCGGTTTATACAGCGTAAACTTCCCCAACCCAGGTTATACCAGTATAACTTGGGTAGCTATTAAATTCATTCCTTAAATAAACGACTAAGTGGTTCAAAAGCTATACATAACATTTATTTTTCACGATATGCACACTACTGTTACAGTAGCTTTCATAACTGTTTTCAAGATAATTGCCGCATGCATGTAATTTTAACTATATACCCAGAAAAAGTTTTGAGTAACATCGATGTATAATTTATTCTTGTCATTAAATAGGGTATGTATTGGAGACCGAGATCTTGGTTGTTGTTTTTTTTTTTTTTTTTTTTTTTTTTGAGGGGAAAAAAATCATTCAGGTTTCAATTTTGCTTTTAATTTTAAGTTCCACTCAAAACCTGAGGATAATAAGTTGTTCATTGCAGAAGCCCTACATGCTACATATTCCAGTTTGCGATGACGATGAACTTTATTCTCATAACTATGAAACTAGACATGTAAAAGATGTACAAACAAAATAAGAAATAGAAAATACTACATGCCTGAAGAAGGGATAATAGTGTGTGATTAACCAAGAGAGCCAACTGTCAATTACCAGTAGAATATTTAACAGTTTACAAACTTTGACAAGTTGATTCTTTGTTGTATTGAAAAGCATTTCAAAACTTTCGATTCGATTGATTAAATTTTGGTACATACCTCTTGAATTCTTTATAGATAAATTTAATAGTACATTTAAATAAATAATAAAATTCATCTCAAATTTCGTTGCAAGTACGTAATTTAAAAATTTATGACCATTACTTTTGAAACGATATCAGTGAAAACCGACATCAGTTATGACATCTTGTCATAATGTACATGTACATACTGAATATGCTTCTTTTTTGTTTCTATGCAATAGTTTTCTCATGTTCTAAATTTTTAATTTACTGGGAGGGAGCACCAGTGTTACAACGCAAAATGTAAACAAAATGTAATAATCTCAGTTTATTACACTTTGCGTTGTTATTACATTTTGCATTGTTATTACATTTTGCGTTGTTATCACATTTTGCGTTGTTCCTTCAATTACCTTTACTCGTTTAACACTTTCACCGCTATCTTCTGACGCAAACTGTATCTCCTCGTCCGTTGGGTAAGGAGTTTTCTGGAACAAGTACTCCAAAGTTTGGACGGCTTTTTGCGAAAGTCTTGGTCTTTTCCCTTTAATAAAACATGTTGTAAATACAATGTATAATTGCATTAACTGGGATTTCGAGTTGACGGAAATGAGCGTCATTAGTCTATATACTATGCTCAAATCAAATTTCTTTCTCAGACCTTTTACAAGTAGTTCGAATTTAATTTTTCATGCACTCACTATTTTATATTAGCGTACTTAATAAAGGTGTCTTATAATGATGCACTACCAAATCATGTCGATTAGTCTCGATTAGCAATACATGACAGATTAGTCTTGGCTATTTGATGTTTGTTTGTTTTTTTTCAAATACTCGAAAAGATTTATATCTAAAAAAAATTATATATTATAATATATAAACATTCACTATGCAGAGTGTAGCTAGAAGTTAAAGCAATATGAGTTGCATTTTTGAGAATTTCATTTTGCTGTTAAAATGTATTATTATGATAAATTTGTATGTAATCTAAACCTTTATGCTCAATAAGGCTAAATTAACGTATCATATTGTTTCAGAAAAAAGATTTCTGTGCAATCAAATGTAGAGTATTTTATAAGTGATCAATATTGTACAGGACGACAATAATGTAATTTTGCTTCCATCATAGCTTATAAATGGTTCTTCCATGGCGAATATAAACAACAGAAGTTTTTAAATGTTCTTTTTCTCCGACCTTGAAATAGTTAATTACAATTTTGCAACAAAAATTTCCGACATCAAAGTTGCAGCTCATATTGCTTTAATTTGACGTGTACGGGTGGAAATGTAAGCGGAACCAGAGCCACCCTGTTAATTACGTTAAGTTTATTCAGGATATGCAATACAGCCCATCAGTTTACAAAAATAACATATATTACAAAATTTAAAGACTCTCAATGAGCCTAAATTGGGGGGGTGAAACCCCTGGTCAAGTGTTCCTCAGTCCCACAATTTTTTCTATCGCAAGATAATGACTGATTTGCATTGCTGCTGGTTCCATTTACGACTCTCTCTCTCTATTTTGCCACACAGGGGATTTAAAAGCAGCAAGGACATGCTCATCATATTAAGGGACCCCCCTCTTTTCAGTGTTAAAATCTAACCCATTTCTAATGCAGGCGAATCTTTTACAACGTTAAATCTTTACAACATCCAATAATCCAATAATTTGTCGTATTTGGCTACAGCATTAAAATCGAATGTGATCAGTGAATTTATCTTTAATATGCATGAGCTGCCTATTTATTTACAAGATTTCTCGTTTATAATTTTCATTCATAAAAGATGCCCCGGTATTCAGAAACTCTAGGCCTGGCTAGCCCTAGCTGCAATGGTGTATTACTATTTATCTTTTAGCTCACCTGAGCTAAAAGTGAACTTTTCTGATCGAAGAGAGTCTGGTGTCCCTCTGTCGTCTGTCATCTGTAAACTCTTCACATTTTTTATATTTCCTTATTAATAAGAACAAAAGGCCAATTTTAAACAAATACTTGGGTGAAGAGGATTCAAGTTTGTTCAAGTGAAAGGGCCACTCTCTCTTTCAAGGGGAGATAATTAAGAATTAAAGAAACTTAAATGGCAGCTTTTAAAAAATCTTCTCAAGAACCATTGGGCCAGAAAAATAATACTTATATTATTCATTAAATAGTGCAGATTCAAATTTCTTCATATTATGACCCCCTGAGGTAGGATGCCACAATAAACTATCAAAGTTTTACATAGGAATATATAGGTAAAAATCTTTTCAAGAACAACAGAGCCATTTTTAGTCATATTTATTTGGAAGCATCCACAGGTTGTGTAGATTAAAATTTGTTCAAATCATGACCCCTTGGGGTAGGGAGGGGCCACAATAGGAGATCAAAGTTTTATAATATAGGAACATACAGGAGAAAATCTTTTTTTCCATCTCTAGAGCAGCAAAGCCATGTTTAGTTATATCAATATGGAAGATCCCCAGAAAGTTTTGATTCAAGTTCAAATCATGCCCCGTGGGGGGTAAGACAGGGTTACAATAGGCGATCAAAGTTTTACAATGGAATATATTGGAAAATTTTAAAACCCTTCTCAAAAACAGCAAAGACATGATAAGTCATATTAATATGGAAGCATCCTCAGGTAGTATAGATTCAATTTTACTCAAATCATGGCCTCCTGGGCCATTGTGGGTAGGGTAGGCCACATTAAAAGATCGGAGTTTTACTTAGGAATATAGAGGAAAACCCTTAGAAATTCTTCCAATGAAGAACAGCAGGCCCATGAATATAGTCACATTGATATATTGAAGCATCTTTAGGTAGTTTAGATTCAAGTTTATTCCCATCTGGGCCCTTGAGAATATGTTAAAGCTACACTGAGACAATACTCTTTTCAATTTTCATATTGCTCACCATTTATTCACAAAATAATCAATCAGTTGGGTTTCTAATTCAGTGGCATACATTACCTTTTGGGCTGGTGCATTTGTAACATTGTGAGATCTATTTAAAATTTATGTATAGTATTTATTAAAACAGTAGCTTATAGTAAATGAAATAAAACTTGGTGTTTGTCATATGGGCTCATTGTGTAGCTATGACCACTGGACCCATCTGCAGTTTTCAGACAATTTTTTTTTTATTCATCAAAATCAAAATTAAAAAAAAAAACTTCTTTATGCAATAGAAAACTTAAGCAAGAATTCAGGTATTTTATCGATATATAAAATTGTTCTAAATATTATTAGATTTAACATCATTTTATTTGTAAATTTCAGTTAGGATGAAATTGACATTTGACACATTAGCACGGATTACAGCAGACTAGTTATTATGTATACCGAGTACAGCTAGGCTAATACTAATACAAGTATGGCGTTAGACAAAAACACGGTACTTCTTCGTCCCCGTTGGACACACTGGACACACTGTCTGATATACATGTATTAATATATGAGTTTTATACTTAACTATTCATTTTCTTGCACATTGAACGGATGGAATTACTGCCCTTGTACCATTGCACTGAAAGTCGTTGTACGCTAAAATTTGTCTTCAATTCAAAAAGAGTTCTAAACACCAAAGATAGTGTATGGGTGAGAAGAGTGTGTATGGGGAAGGCGAGGGGTTTACAATTAAGTTAAATTATTTTAATCAAAGTTTTAATGAATTGTGAATAAACACCTCGATTCTGCATTCTCTAGATGAGACTTACATAAAAAAAAATATTAAATAAAAAAATGATATCCCCCCCCCCCCGAATCAGTAAAAATTGAAAAATGCATGTTTTTTTATACATATGTTGTATTTCAATTCTTCTGTTACCCTCAATTTCTATATACAGAAAATTCTGTGTATATTGCAATATCAATTCACAATAATTCGTCGGATTAAGACGAATTTTATATGCTAAATGGATGAATAAAGTTTTGAAAAGGCTCTTTTTAAAGTTCTTCAGAGTGTCGATTGCCACAAAAATTCTCCACTTTGAATTCAGATTATTTGATATTCATGCCGCGCCTGGAAAAAAAAATCCTAAGTTGGAACATTAAGAATAAATCCCAGCTGAGCATCAGGCGAAAAAATACTCAGCCTCTTGTTCTTTATTGCCTTTATTAGCCGAGGAATATATATAAATGTTGTAGAATTATCGAGTTGTACATATTTTAAGACAGAATGCGCACCAAAAACTGGTGCTATTGTCAGCAGAAACGTGGAAAAATTAATGTTAACCCCTTTGGTCTATTAAGAAATGGAACTCAGAAACTATCGAGTATGACGTCTTGAATAATGTATGTGTCAACAGGAAAAAAGAATATTCTTAAATTATATGTCTCCTGTTACATGAACTTTTTCTGTATGGCACTTTGGCTTACAAGTTGTTTTATTGCCTTTTACCAAACTACATTGAAGAACTTCTTTATTTCCAAAATATTTAAACGCTTATTCCCTTGGAATATATTTACGATGGCGGTTTAACTTGGAGAAGGCGCAGAATCTTTTATGTACTCATATGAAAATCTAACTGGTTGTCTGTTGCCAATTAAAATACGAGCCTCTTTATTAGAAAAGAAACGGAGAGCAACTCGTAAATATCAATTTTTATTTGGTTCCCCTAGTGTATTCATCCTAGAATACGGTATTTTCAGGTCACAATATTGATGAAATGAAATATGGAGATAACGAACAGTATTCAAGCTCAAAAGCCCATTCAAACAATACAAATCAGGAGCAAAGCAAACACGGACATTTAAAACATCAGAGGTGGGATCTGGTGCCATGGAGGAGTAAGCAACCCCTGCCGACCGGTCACGAAAGATACGTCACATGAAATGAAAATAATAACAAAGAGCTGTATTCTATGAATTACGGTACTGATTAAAGGTATATATATGCGCATTGTTTTGAGAAATTCAACATAAATTTGTACTTACGCTGTTAATAAATACACGAGAAAGAGAGAAATTCTTTATTTCATTTTCTTTCTTTATGAAAATACTAAATTTTATACAACATAATTTTAAGCATGATTATATGACATGGTATCTGTAAGCGTTAGTGACACGCGAAATCGTTAAATAGGAGGTCACTGAAAAGTTATATTGAATAAAAGATGATCGTGTAGGTTATAGAAACTTTAGAATTTAAACTAACTTATTATAATTAAGAAATTATCAGAACTTTGCCTAAAACACTGGGAAAGGCATCAAAAGGCCCAAGCACTCTAAAAACTTAATTTGACGAAAACAATAGTTTGGGGAAAAACATTATGATATTAATCAACGTTTGAAAATTGAAGAAAATTAAATGAATATAGTGCCGTATATTTGACATAAGTTCAATGTTTTTGGCTTTTCATTGTCAAAATCAATAAATCGTCTTACAATTTACGTAAAGATTTTTATTTAATAAGCAGAATTCCAAAATTCACAAGAAATTTAATGACCAATTGTGAAGTCATTATTTAATTTGATTCAGAAATGATGCAATTTCCTTTAGATCTTGATGAGCCGTTTTCATTTCCGGCGAAAAAAAAAATCCTTTTTGTAGATTAAAAAAAAAACCTTGTTGACCGTATTATGATAAAATAAAATCATACTATCATAAAGAAGATGTAAACTGTTTGAAGTATTTAATGAAGAATTGTTAAAGAAACCACAGACCCGATAGATCGAAACGATCTAGCCATGTTGATCTTCGATAAAAAGTGGATATTTTTGTAGAGGAGCGCTTTTATATGACAATGGGGAATTCCTGGAAAAAGATAACTTCTTGCTACAATAAAAAACGCTTTTGCCGAAGCATAATATATCTAGATATACAGATGATGATCTCTTAATGGTCTCTCTAGAAGTTCAAAGATTTTTGTTTTACTCTTCCCTGGTATTTCAGGTTGACAACAGAACGGTAACACACTATATTTATGTTGGTACGCAGAATTAGGGATGCCTATAACTTAGAATCCAGAAAACGTCAGTTGAAATTCTTGCTCGTAGGTCGTGATTAGGAGTTGCATAAATCTATGTTAATTATTCTAAATGTAACTAGAAAAATGCAGAAAATCTGAAGACAATGTTAAGCTTTTCAAAGTGTTTATTCAAGAATATTTACTTAAATTGTACAATTATCAACATCCAACAAACAGTTTTAAAAAAAATCAACAGAATATGAAATTCTTTCCATTAGATATTGTGACTTGTGATAATTATCGAGTTAACAATTGGATTTTCGCATCAAAATTTAAAAGTAAAAGGAAATAAAATGTAGATTTATCTGTTATTAATCACGCAATCGTATTCTGTCAAATAATTATTGTCTTGCTAAGCAGACATCTTTTAATTTTCATTTCATGTTGTCCGGTATTGGTATTTGTCAGGGTCATGACAGACTTCCATCCTTTCCTCCCCATTATTATTTGATTATCTATTGCACAATATATATATGGGGGTTTGTCTACAATCATCTTGGATGATATAAAACTAATTGGCCTCAAAGTCATCGATACAATTCCTGTTTCAGTCATTTCCGAAACTCATTATTACTGGACATCAAGCAGTTTATTTCAGGGTTTTCACTGCGTCGAGTGCATAGGCCTCGTTTTACCAAGATCAAGGACTAACAAGCGGACTCTGTAAAAATATTAACACTTTTCCTGTTTATATTTCCTATTTTCCAGATTCTTTTTCAAAATCACAATCGCATCAACAATTCATTGACTCTGCATATTGTTTCCTGTGTTAATAATACTAGTACATGTACGTAATTATCTCACATGATGGTACATATTTAATCGGTCAATTATAACTAAAAATATTAAAAAGAAGTAACATTAACATTCAAAAGATTATATTTCTATTTAATAAAATCCGTGCATTCAGCAGGATTAATTTTTTCACCTATTCGCCAAGAGACATGTTTCATTATAAATGGCATTTTTTAAACAAGAGGCTCAAGGGCCTTAACGGTCACCTGAGTATAATATAACACTGTAAAGGATCCATAGAAGTATAAAACAAAATTAACTGATAGACGAAGCTAAGTTGCCCAAGAATTTCAAAAATCTGGTAAAAATACCCTTGCTTATTGTAACGTGCAAGACCTGAGTGATCTCCTTGGGATTGTACTTGGTTTTCCAAAGTGTTACAGGGATGATAATGAATGCAAAATATACAGATACATGTATTATTAACACTTGCCTAGTGTGAAAGGTATTCAATATATACGGATATGTTTTTGTCACTTTCCTAGTGCTACAATTAAGTACACAAAAAGAAATCTCCAATGCCTGTATATTTTCTTGAGGTTATGCCTCTTGCCCACCCAAACAACTTAGCTGCTTGCCACTTGATAACACTTGGTACCAACACTTGCCTCTAGACTATACAAAAAACAAACTTGGTAATGCTTGTTACCAGCACTCTCTACTTGGTTTAGTATACAACATGGCTATATGCCACTTGTCCGTAACTGCAACATGTCCCCTAATCACCCTGGCTCCCTTATTCACTGATAAAGTATAAAACAACTTTTTGCAGTCTCTTGCCAACTAAACTCTGATCTCCATGAATTTATCTAACAATAAGTCTTCAACTGCCCAACAAAACAGTATATACATACTGAGGACAATTGGCCCTTTTTGCTACATAAATAATCTTTATTTCTATCTTTTATACTGCTTTTCAGAGCACGCTTTGCTTGTTTAAACTAAACATTAATTTTTATTTTGTTTCTATATATATAACATTCTTTCTTGTATTCTCATTCCATCAAATAACCTGTTAATTAAATTATATACAAGAATTTCTTGATTTAACACAATTTAGCAAAGAGAAGTAACTCTCATTCCCTGTACTCTGTTTGCTTCCTAGATACCCAGAAGCAGAGAAAAGGCACAATTGCTTATATCTAAATTTATACATTTACATTTACATTATTGCATTTAGTCTGTTTGCTTAATACGCAGGAGCAAAGGAGAAGATTTTAAAATATCAATGCATTTTTGCTATATAATCAATAGAGCCCCGCCCAAACACCAGAACCCCTGACCCAGGGGCCATGAAATTCACAGTTTTGGAAGAGGCACCCTTGCTCATCATAACTATGCATTTAGAGAAGAGGAAAAGATTTTTATAGCATGTATTCATTTGAAATTGGTTCAGTAGTTCCAGAGAAGAAGCAACAAGTGTAAATAGAAAGATAGATCAAAAACAACTACACAACAATTCGCAACAACAAAAATGATAGACACACCAGGAAATGTAATTTTAAAAAAATGTAATGTCACTTCTGTATGCTTGTCTTTAATAAAAGCTCAAAGATGAACATACCTTTTGCAAATTCTTGACATATTGTGGACGCAATGCTCGGATTGAATAACGTTTTTAATTATTGCGATAATAACAATCAATCCATTTGTTCAATGATGGAATATGGATAGTATGCTATCCGGATAGTTCACTATTACATCATTGCACCTTTGAGGTTTGGGTCCATG